GTTCCTTTGCGGTATGCTTCAGTTAAATAATGTATACAGAAGAGAATCCGGTAGAATTTGTGATGTAAGGCTTTAAATATAAGGCTCTCTCTGTAGCCCTAATACCTAAAATTTCAAATTGACGACTCACAGAATATTAGAATATCAATAACCGATACTTTTGCCAATATGAATGCCTGTACTAAGTTGACACGGTATGATTCTTTTCGAAACCGTTCTGTCGAAAAAAGTTAGTACGTGCATACTAAAATTTTGGGCAATGAATCGTACTATGCAGTAATTCGCAGGTGGCTTAATATAAGACGAATAGCATGCATCACATCGATCCTCTGCAAAAGAACTTGATGCAGAGAACATGCTCAGTACATCATTCAATTAGATTATCGCCTGGCTCTACGATCCCGTGACCTTGATCTAGTTGGAGACCTAGACGCCTTTCCACGACGTGACCTGGACCTCGATGTGCTCCGGCTTTTTCGTTCCCTGCAAAAAGTCATTGCACTGTAACTGCTATTGTTATGGATAGATATCATAGGTTTAACAAATCACTTAAGTTCAAAGGTTCTCAATAGAGACACAAAGATTCCGGTGCGGACGCACGGCCACTGCCGCTGCCTCTACCGAAGATTGGCGTAAACAGAACTGCAGTTACCGTTTCCGTACTGCGTTGTTCCGTCCCCCGGCGCCGCGTGTTAAGCTTACCTCCTTCTTTTAAAGGTGGCAGGTTCTTTTGTATCACTACTACTTCTTGCTCTCCGGGTTCGTTCGCCTTTTTCCGGCTTCTTTACTTTACCCAAATCTTTAGATTCTTCTTTATTCAAACTTCTGTCCACGACGCCTTTAGAGGTTGCTCCTTTGGATATGTCTCCTTCTGTTTGTATATCTTGCTGGTCCTCGCTAGATTCCTTATTCTTATGCCCTTCTTTTGTTTCTTGACTCTTTCTTGCCTTGCCCCCGTGATCGACCATTTGGACTGTCGAGCGTGTACGCTGACTCGATGCGGGTGACATAGACCTGGAATGAGTATCACGCCGCCTTGACCAAAGAAAACATATGTACATATGCTAAAATTGAAACACAATATTCGAGCTTATTTACGCCTGCAGAATTTTAATCTAAAACTAAACTCGTGCGCCATACCTATAATGATCGCGTGAAAACATCGATAAATTTATACATACTTGGCAACGGATACAACTGTTGACCTCATGCCTCCGCGAAATGGTGAAGATTCATCTTCCCTCTTTCGCCGCCTGTCCGCACGTGAGCCGTTGTCTCGATCATTATCTTTATCTTGTAATTGTTGCCTGTGAAATTGCCCTCTATCGAGTCGCTTCCAAACATCTCCACGACCGCCTTGAATGCCGCTTCCTCTACGATCATCGGCGTTCCAACGATCGTGGTCCTTCCTTCTTTCATTTCTTCGATCGTGCTCGTGTCCTTCTCTACTTCGCCGCTCGTCTCGTCCATCGCCACCTCCACCGTCGTTACGATTTTCCCGACTTAGAAATCCCCGCCGACCTTCTGACCAATCGCTAGGTCCCCATGACGAGGAACCCTGACTACTTTTAGGCGCATCCTGAAATGAGTCAGATTATTATTCACTCAGCAATAGTATAACGTTAGTTATTTGCCAAACACTAAGTATTTGGACACCATTTGAAAGTTCACAACTAACCAATTTAAGTTGAGCCTTTCTCCAATGTGGCGGCGTTCTGCTGCGAGACCTATCGCTACCACTGTCCGAGGGTGTTCTGTATCGCATGGCTCCTCGTCCTCGACATTTGCGGCCAGACTTAGTGGTTAATGGCTTACGTTGCCGACCTCTATTGTCGCGTCTTCTGAAGTCATCCGGAACAATCTGAGGTACACCGCGCATCAAAAACTTATTTACGGGAACTTCGGGTATCTCGTCTGGTACAATGACAACGCCAGATTCCTGGCTCACATACGCTTTGTCCTTTATAGCATTCCGTCCGCTGCGATCTTCTTTCTTGCTTTTCTTACTTCGCTCCTCCACAGCTTCATATTCAGAACTGGACGATGACGTCGACGAGTCGCTTAGTGATGAGGAACCTGACGAAGAGCCACTAGTTTCAGAACAGCCATCTGTCTCTGAGGCACTATGGGATGAAGCTCGCTTCCGATTATCCTTAGTGATTTTTTTATTAGAAGACTTCTTTGAAGTGTTTTCTTTAGCTGATTTCGTCTCCTTCTGTATGAGCTGACCACACGCTTTAATAACTACCTCCTCCATTGGTCTTGAGCCACTGTCAACCGAAATGTCCTCGATTTTCCTAAAGAAAGAATGCAAAAGCAACCGTTAGGATCTCGTCCGCGCCAAGTTGTAGCACTGTTTAAGGAAAATAAAATGATTAAATAAATGATAGGCAAAGAATACTTTATTTTATATTTACTAACCTAACAACATCTTGTCCTTTAACGACCTTTCCAAATACTACGTGAATTCCATCTAGATGCGGAGTCGGCACGGTTGTGATGAAGAATTGGGAACCATTCGTATTTTTACCCCGATTCGCCATCGAAAGTAGGAAGGCTGAGTCATGTTTTAATATAAATGTTTCATCGTCAAATTGACCTGGAAGAAATAAAAAGAAATTGATATCGAACGCAAAAATGTCAAGCAATCTAAACAGGTTATAAATTACGAGGATCTAGGCAAAAGTGATAATATAGCTGTATTTATTTATGAACAACATGCTACCGTTAAGAAATTCTGGAAAAACGAAGCCACTATATCACGTTAGTTTGAATGATATTTATTAAGTACAATTGCTGTTTATCGTTGTTCAACTACTGTACATCTTTGGCATACATACCTCCATAAATGCTCTCGCCGCCAGAACCATCTCCTCGACTGAAGTCACCAGCCTGGACCATAAACTGTTTTATAACCCGGTGAAATTTTACTCCCTCGTAATGTAAGGGTTTCTTGGTCATTTTTCCAATGCCCTTTTCCCCAGTACATAGTGCTCGAAAGTTTTCACAAGTGCGCGGGGCAATGTCGCAGAAGAGTTCAAATACCTACAAACAAAAATAAAGGTCACATATACACAAAAGATATTTAGCATACAGTTATATATGGTCGCGATATATTATTAAGACACATTTCGGCGGCCTGCTTGTTGCAGTGAACATACTAGAAGAACCTCGTCTCTTTACGCAACGAGTTTTACAAACCCTGCCGGTAACGTGAAATTGACGATTGACCCACTACTCTGTACGCTTCTGCAAAAAATCCATAGCTAATAAATGATTAAAATAAATAAGAAGTCAAAAACGGCCGATTAAAAGATATAAACACAAATCTGATGATACTGGTGTCGCCACCACGATTTTAATGGCTGTTTCACGAAAATGCGCATGTCGCATTGCTCATGAAAATTTCAGGATGCACTTACATCATAGTAGTCAAACCGATTCCCTCTGAAGCCGCAAACGTTGAATGACCTTTTCACTTTCCTGTGCTAAGGAAATAAAGATTAAACGAGCTTGCCATAGCTAAAAGCAGACATCAAGGATTCCGACGAATGAGTACGCACTTGTAGAACAAGACAGCTCGTTGTTAACATTCACGAGGGGTACATTCGGTCTTTTAGAAAGAATGCATATAGCTCCTGTAACTTTCTCTGCCATATTGTGTGCGGCTGTCTGTGTGTAAATATCGAATCATGAACGATGTTTCCCAACTATTTAGTTAAAGATCTATTCCCTCAGATTTTTGCTGCGATTTCCCTGACACGCATTGTTCAATCTCTGTCGGCTTTACATTCGGATACAAGCTGGCTGTGCCCTCTAAAGCAATTTTAAGCATAAACTACCTAGCGATCTTTGCCTATTTTTCCCCGAGTGGAAAACCTTAACGACTATTGCAAGAGCCAGTTAAAGAAGGGACAACTAGTGTATCCACTACAAAACGAATTTTTCAGTTTTGCTTGGAACTAAATTTTATATGTGTGATCATCCTCTAAGGAACAATGAACCAGTAGGGGGTGTCAGGTCGCGACACCTTTTCGTAAAGGCAAAACCATTGTACAAAAAGCATAGTGGGATACCGTGTAAGCTTGGGCAAGACGGTCGATTAACATTGTAGTAAACAGAACGCCCTACATTTTCCAGTAAGACGGAATTTATACAACAACGCCAATAAATCTAATTCTAAATTCCTGATCAGTTAAGCCTCTGCAAGAGGAGGACCTTTGGACAGCTTAGTAGCATACAGTAATACATTGTATGTGACAGCGCTGAGCGAGATTTCAGCGAGTCGTCCCATATCGCGTCGTATCGGTGAAGTGAAACGGTTATTCGTGAACGTAGAGATGAGTTTTGAAAAGACTTGTGCTGCGTTACACCCCGAATTAAAGCTTTGATCAAAGCAAATAGCAGCCACATGCAACCTGTAGGACCGTCAAGGATGTCTGTATAGGCATGTCGAAAGAAATGTCATCCAAATATTCATTCAGTGCTGTTCATAATAAGCGCCATCAATTGATGCCGCATATGCACATAGTAGAGAGTCTCGCAAGTATGAGGGTTTTAAGTCGAAAGTTAATTAAAAACATCGCACCTGGTCAAACTGGAAGGCAGGTTCTTTTTTGATTGGACGGTTATTTTCCTTAAATTGTTAACTTTCCTCATACCCAATTGTAAGCACATTCTTGTTCCATCTTATTGTTGCGGCTCGTAACGATACTACTAGATATTTTCTATGGCTTACAAAAACCAGATATTACTTGAATACATAGCACTGATGGCGGTACCAGTTCGTCGCCACAACGACCAGTGGCAGCTAGAAAAAGTAACTCATCGAAGCGGAGATGCTAATTAACTCGAGGATGAACAATGTGGCTGGCCAAGCTGCAACGAAGAGTTATGGTGGTGCCCTTTAAGTGTATAAGAAGTTGCTACCGAAAATACCATTTCTTAATTCGACGGTTGCAGGAAATGTCGAAGTTAGTTGGCTTGAAAGTCGAAATGTATGTGCGCGTGCATCAGCGGCCGTAGTCCTAACAGCCGATAAAAAAGTGGTCCGGTTCGAGCAAGTAAACAACGATAGCTCATTTATGTTGAGGACAGTCGCACGACCTTGTTACAGCAAACGCTAGACGACTGTTAACCGGAAACCACCGCGTGCCTAAAAGATTGGCAAGAACTAGTTGATATATACGTACATAAGATTTCTTTGTGTGAGGGCTTAGCAATCAGGACTCTGACAAGTTTCTGCTGCCAAATCGCTCACTGTCGCTATTAAAATATTAAATAATAAACTTCTATTTTTCGAATTTAGCCAATATTATCGACATTTAGATTTACGCAAGCGTCCTTACGATGCAGCAATTCACGCAATAATGGCTTATGTGTGTTTAAAATAATGCAGTCCAGTAGTACATTTCGAAACTAAAGCCCCAGGCTTCGTTAACCTGCGACAAACCAATACGTATATATACATATACAGAATGGTGAGTGCAAATTTACGAAATTTGTGTGAAAGTTAGCTTGATCTAATCTTAACGCTGGGCAAACCCTTTTCAAGATTAAACTGTTCTCGAAATCGGCGCTCTACATAATCACGTGTTTTCATGCGATTTGTGGAAAAATTCAAGGAGGCCTTTTGGGGCAGACTGGAAGATCCTCAACAGGGTTTCGATACAAAAGGTTAAAAAAATGACTAAATGGCTCGAAAAGCCATTTTTGGTGCACCTAAGATTTTTATCCAGAAATTAATGACCATTTTAAAAAGAAGAATATCAATCGCTAATATAATCGTCCAGATATCTTCCTAAGATTTTTTGAACCTTTTGAATGTTCTGACCGCTTCAAGCTTTTCAACTTTTGGCTTGCTATCGACAGAAAATATAATTTCATTAAAATTTTGATGTCTAGTGTATTTTAACGGCATTTTAACTATTATACATCTATAAATATCGCTTGACGCACGGTAAGTACCTAATTTGGGGATTATATTAAAGAATATCGCCGTCAGGTATGACACTCGCGGCAAATGTAAAAAAGCCGTTCAAATACTACTCTTGCTTACGGGCGGTCTTAAAAATAAGGCATAAGAAAAATTCTCAACTCAAATGTGCCACCCTGTATTCATATATACATATCTGTATGTCTTTACTGGTTTGCTATAGGCTACTAAGCTTCAACTTTAGTGTCCTGTGTTATGCACCTAAACAATTTGTAGTAAGACAACTCAAATAATCATCTGGATCTGTTTCGCAAAGGTATTTTTGCATGAATCTAAACTGTTAATATAAATCGCCAATTGTAAAATATGCCAGCTAAGTTAGAAACATTCGAAATCACTCTTCACGATTTTAGTAGCGACAGTGAATGTCTTGCAAGTGGAAACTAGACAGAATCCCGCTTGACCACGCCCCATACAAAAAATCTTGAAGCTCGAGATCGAAGCTATTCGATGACCACGGGATACGGAAAATGCTCAAATGATCAGAAAGCCAGCCTTCGACTAAATGGCTGTTATCAACAGAGCACCATCCTGCTGAAAGACCGTTGTACGTTCCTAAAAGAGACAAAGTAGCATGACGTCACCTACACTAGCCATCATGTTTAGAACGAGAATATTGAAAAGAACTTATGTCCTAATACCGACGTTTATGAGCCACCTTATAAGTAGGAACCTCATTAGTTTTCAAAACGGTGCATCAAAATCTCGATATCACCAGAAATGCAATTTTGTGCCGTTTTGATATGTTTTTGAGTCCTTTCAATCAAAATTCCTTCATGAATCTTTCGTTTTAGCAATCAACTGCACCGTCGATTCTCTGTAACCACAGAAATTCACGATCCGGGATGTTGGATTAGGCGCCGAGCCTTTCGATTATAGCTGTCCTCTCGTTTTATTCGGAATACGACTTGCCTTTAACACGAAAGCATTGCACTGTTATGATTCTATCTATCAAACAAGCTTTCATTAGAGCCTCCGTTTACCGATACTTTTACAAAATTTTAAGTTGAGATTTTTTCAGATTTGGATAGCACAGCCTGCGTTTGTTTTTTTAAATGTATTCATTCCCTGATATAAAGCTACCTCTTTCAAGTTCGAATCAAAAAGCAAAAATATCGCATTTTCGGTTGCATGCTGAATAAATAATTACTGTAGTAATCGTAACCACTTAAACTAACGTTCGTTGCCTTTTTTAGACAGCTAGACATTGGAAAAAACCCAGCCTTGTACAAACAACAGACTATTTAAATCACTACTACGAACGAATTTCTTTCCTAGTTGTTTAAAATTTGACCATTTAAAAAATTATATTTATCTCTATAGATAACCCGGGTACACTCGAGTGATTTTGAAGTTAAACTCTCTCACTTAATTCATAATATGCATGTCGCTGAGCTCATTCGTCCAGCTCTATAAGAATTAAAGTACCTCGGTTAACTCTAAAAATGTAGCGAATATAAGTAATAAGCTGATACATACTATTCGGCCGGCGTCTCTTCCTCCAATGGCAATATCAAAAAAGGTTCTCTGGCTGGTGACGTGCTTCGTCTTCTGTTTCTTACGTGGAGTTTCCGGTGATTCCACAGTCATCGTAGTGACTCTCCAATTACCTGTGACACAAATTGCACATCAATGTTGATAACACGCATATTAAGTAAAAAAAATTGAACCACGGGCAAGATGCTGGCTTTAGTTATACCGGTATACTGAATTATGCCAGCTACTTCTGTAGTCATACTCTTAGAATTAAGATGGCTGCAACAAGTGATTAAATTTTTATATAGAATAGGTAAAAGTGAAATAAAAACAATTTATCACATAGCATCTCAGCAAAACGAATTACTTACCTGCTTTACTCTAAATTTTTTTCTGAGCTGTATAACAGTCTTTCTTAAGCAAAAGAAAAGCTCTAAACCCAAACCCTGAACCTATGCACTGTATAATTATTATAATTAAGGCTCATACACCAAAAAACTATTTATTCTGCAAAGATATAGCTTTCCACTGTTTAAACAGGATTTGGTGATGTAGAGTAAATTAGAAAGCTAATTCTAAGTCACGCCAGGCTGGCTGAAAATTCTTTGATTGCGTATTTTTTCTGTTCCCCCGAAAGCTCGTATATTAACGATCCACCTGTTTTAGCTTTAAACGTTCACCATACGGGATTAACTTTTTGCAGTCTGTAACGAAAAATAGCTAAACTCTGCTTTGTTATTCTACAGTAGATGTTTAAAACTGGGGAATTCTTTCAGAAAAAAGTTCTAAAAAAATATAGCATATAACCTTATAATGAGAATCAACAATCGAATGGGTATCGCGTCTTCTACAACCAATGTAAAAGTAACTTTTTCTTCATGTATGACGAGGTGGTATCACCACCTAGGTAATAAAGTTCAAATCAAAATCGATAAATACGCGTTTACTTTCACAAAGAGCGCACTAAATAGAAAACACAGAAATCTTATGTAGGTGTTAAACAAAATGTAAACCCACAATTTTGGCCATTTCGTACAATAAACCTAACCCATTCGCACACTCACGTCACCTTATTAAGAATTGAAGTACCGTAGGATATTAATTTGAAAAATCGCTGACATGAAAATGTATCGAACTGCACTGCCCTGACGGATTAGCGTTTATCACAAACGACGCAGACTTAATGTGTATTTACATATGAAACAACAACAACGAATTTCGCTTATCCTAAACGAAGATAGAACTGGTCATGATGGATACCGTTAACGTTTTTGAGTCAGTGTGTCGGATGTAGCTAGAAACGATCACCGATTGGAGCAACGCTTCTCCTTAAAAGCGTTCTCTTTTTTGATATCGAGCAGCGTTTTTGATGATGTTGATTTTCATGCCTTGTTTGCGTGCCCCTGTGCTGTTATGCAATAATTGGTAACAAACGTATTTGTAACAACCAGACTTCTGTGGCCTGGCCAATAAACACAGTTATCCCAGCTTGGTCTTCAGAGTTCTAGTAATAAGGTGCATGCTGCTGTTGTACATCTAGTCATACATTACTGCTGCAGGTGACGGTGGCATCGTCCGCTTATTGGTAGTCGGCAATTTCCGCGCTTTTGGGTCCCAAAATTTTGCGAAATATAGCCGTACCAAGCAGCTCGATACAACTGAGTGGTATTTAGTTGTAGAAGCAGTAGAAGTGCAGCAAAGTAGCATCACTATCATATAGCGTACATACGCACAATTACCGGACAAATCTACTCTGTCTAGTTGGCTACTATTATTCACCTCTTCTACCCAATTCAGCCCAACGATCCGTCGCTTAATCTTCTGAAGTCGTTCTTGCGACCATCAGAATACCCGGGTCGACCGAACGACTGCAGTAGGCATCAATTCCTGTTCGTCTGTTGCTAACTGTAGTAGTTTTCTTCAGTGGACTCTAGATTAAAGACGATTACTTACTGAAGAGTTGTGTGGGAGGTCTAGAAAATCTTAAGAGACAGAATTTTCGTCACCATTGTAAGCGGGGAGAGGCCGTTTCTCGCGTTCACAGTATCAAAAGCAACAATAGCAGCACTATTGGAGTCGTGCTGTAAGGTAGGTAAATGGTGTGCGGCCCCGTCCTTTCATGCATTCATTAAATATAAGCTTAAGCAATTTATGGACTGACTATCGATTAAGTCTAGGAAAAGTGTCAAATTTACCTGTTGTTAATAGCTAAACATTGAGATGCTTCTAGAAAGAATATGGTATGACTTTTACTAAATTTAATCTGTGCTATAAAACCTTTCTACTTTGATTGCAGTAAAAAAAAAGTCTAATCTGTTCAAGTCTCTGCAGTAGCTAAATTTACTGCCACTTCTAGTAACTTCAATTATGGGTTATCTGTTGGATCATGACCACCTTTGGCGTTTCAATTGAGAAAAAAGCTATCGTTATAGAGCTTCCTTTTTGTTAGAATCGTGTGGATGCTGGATCTCTTGTTTGTTAGACGGAATCAAAAATGCTCGGGTGGCAATTTTGCTTAACGTGATATGATTCCAATGATGACATGAAGCACAAAGACAAGGAGTGAGTGTGGTACTTATTCTTGCTCTTCGTCAGTTGATAAGTTACAGGCTCAGATGTGTTCAGTAACAAACAGTGAATTTAGTGGTTCGCGTGTGCCGCAGCTTTCATATGAAAACTTTTATTTGACTAGTGAATAATATCTATTATTGCATAGCATATCACAAATAATCTTGCTACTACACAAATGTGTTGAATTCATGAAGACAATGCAACGAGGAACCTTTGTCACACTTAGTTCTAATCATAGGCAACACTAGAAAACATGCATACAAACGCTATAATTTCATGTTTTATTTTATTATGATCTATTGCAAGATAATCCTTGATACTATTATCCACAAAGCTAATACTGCACCCAAGTGTGTTGTTGTACCACATGCTTAAGTATGAGCTGTAAGATAGACACACTTAATTATTACAATATGCATAATAGGTTTTTTAATCATTGAAATTTTCTCTATCAAGTAATGCTGATTTGTCACACTAAACTATTACTCAGTTCTAATCATAAGCAACAGTAGAATAAATATCATACAAACATTAAAATTTACACAATTTTTTTTCTATTGTTTTTCAGCTACTAGGCTGCGTAACAAGATCATTTTTTGGTCCCATTGTCCCGAATACTAATGTTACGTCTACGTTTATCACTGCATCAAATTTGATCAAGAATACAGTAAAACTAGTAAACTTCAAGCACATTACCACGTATTCTTGTTTCTCTTTTGAGGACATGACTTTACATTACAAATTGTTGAACTTCAACTATTACATTAGTAAATGTATCATTTAACTCGTAGTTGGGTCTTATTTCAGGACACTGAAAATATCTTTTTTAACATAGTTCAAACTTTGTGGGTATTTCTAGCTTAGTGTTTAACCATCACTCCAGGTTCAAAAATTATCTTTGAATGAAGAATAGTTTGAACAGATTATATATGCGTGCCCCCATATGTCTGTAACTATTAATATCTATCAGTAGAGCAGTAAAACCATGTTCACGTGGAAAGTTATTTAATATGTACAAGATTCGTTATTCTGATTTTTCTAATATAATTCGATGTGCTGATCCTTAATATTTTTTTTTGTGGTGTGCGTGTACCTAACAGAAGCACGTCGTGTAATTACTTCTCTTGCTAACAGGTAACGAAGTGTTTTAAGCCGTGCTATTCGTCCAACGTGCTCAAGTGCTTGAATTGAATCTACTGCATTAACGTCCCGAACCTTGGTCCCGGTTTTGATTCCGAGTATGTATTGACAACCGATAAAAAATTGTAATCTTTTGACACCTTCATACGCCAAGTCACAGACACGAACTGCGTATGCTGTTAGCGTTTTCTACAAGATTCAGGTGGAACATCTGTCGCAACTCACGTGCTTCTGTCGCCGTCATCACCAGTCCTTCATTAATGCCTCAGGAAAAGGAACAAGAATAAAACAAAAGATTTTGTAGAAGTAGTCAAACGTATGCTAGCGGTGTGTGATTGGTCAGTAGGCAAAGGTTGGTGGTACAAATTACACAAATCTAAATGTAGGATCGAATAAAAACACTAATAATAAGAGAAGGAATCAAGCCGGACACGGCTGAATTTAAAGTTGTTAGTGTTTGAGCACTAGTCGTAAGTAGTGCATAAGCGACAAAGTAACTTTGGCTTTGCACTGCAAATCTGTCTTCTTCTCATTAAACTCTATCACACTTGCAAGTAAAATCAATCGCGCTTTGTTGAGACGGGCCTCGTCTCTCTGTGTGTGTGTCGCCCTGTCCCCTCCCGGCAGCACCACGAACAGCTCGGCCTCCGATTCGATCCGGCGGCTGAGCGCCAAAATGTTCGGTGGAGGCGGGGGCCATAAGTTGCGCTCGGCGCAGCGCGAAAAAGTTCGCCAATTCATCAGTTTCACGCAAACCGGCGAGAAGACAGCTATCTACTGTTTGCAGCACAACGACTGGAAGCTGGATCAGGCTAGTGATTCGTACTTTTCCAACCCGGACTTCTATCATCGCCACGATGGCAGCTCAGGCGGCGGGGGTCACACCGTCAGCCAGGCCGCCAACTTTCATCATCATAGGTCCAGTGTTGGAAATGTCGATCGAAAGAAGTTGGATCAACTATATGCTCGATATCGAGGTTAGCTTTTTGATACAACAATATTTGATTTTAACTTGAACTACATGCTGACATCTTACAACGATATCAAAATAGTACTTTTGTTTAGCACGTATTATAGGTTCCAGCAAATAGTATAAAATACTTGATGGAATCAATCATGTCGTTATCCGTATCCTGTATGAGTGAAGACACCCACAGAATACAGATAACGACCTACTCAAGCATGCTAATGCTTTTCTATTCTTACCGCATTAATTAATAAGCTCGTGTCAGCATTTGAGGGAACTGGGACGTAGCATTAGTTTTTTATCTATTCAAAAAGAGAACTGAGATCCCTTTTTGGTATTTTGGAAGGTTCAAGCACATCGATTCGCATTAATTTATCAGAAAATTCAGGACATCCTATTTAATCCATATGTTAGGGTACTTCACAAAGAATAGTTTATAACAGCACTCTGCTATCTCAAACCAAATATTTATGTTTTCTCCCTTTTTCTACTCAGATGATGCTGCACGCCATGGTTTCTTAAGAGAATGGAGGACGGATTTTGTGTTCTATTTTACTGGCTAGTGTAAAATAGACGTGTACTCAAAAGTTACAGTTTCGATGTTTAAGCATATACAATACAAAGAAATGGTACTACAGAATGATTTAGTTGTTAAAGATCATTTTATATTTCGATGGCTCATTTTCGAATGCTGTGGCATTATATGTCCACATTACAGATTCTCAAGAAGATAAGATCCTAGCAGATGGAGTAATGCGTCTCCTCGATGACCTGCAACTACAGGCGGATAGTAAGTTAGTGCTCCTGCTTGCCTGGAAGTGGCGTGCTGCCGTTCAGTGTGAATTTTCTCGGGACGAGTTTTATGGAGGTAAGGAATAAATTTACTGTTCGAACTGAATCATAGGTTTACAATATGAAGAATAGGCGTAACAATGGTATATAATGCAGCAAATTGAAGGTCGAAGGGACTAAGAATAATTCAAGTACGCGGTCCTGTGAGCCAACGTCAGAGGTTCCACATCTGGAATATAATGTGTAAGAGCTTAAAATGCAGATTTAGATTTTTGAATAATCTTATTTTCTGTATTTTTTAACCCAGTGTATGTACTTCTTTGATCCAAATAGGCCATTGGATAATTTGAGTAAAACAATTAGTGCGTTAAAAAACAAGTGTTTCAGCTAAATCGTCAAAATAATGTATGCCATTGTTATAGACGTTCGACGGCCTTTTCGTATGAAAAGGTACAACAGTTCTTAAGTGAGTTCATATGTCAAAGGACACCGTGACTTTTCAGGTATGTCGGATATGGGTTGTGATACAATTGAGAAGCTAAAAACTAAACTCAATTTGGTAGAAATGGAAATCAATGACTTTCGAAAATTCCGAGATTTCTACAACTTTACCTTCAACTACGCTAAAAATCCCAATCAAAAAAGTCTTGGTAAGTTGTTTACTTGCCACATTGGTTGTGCTTTTTGGTTTTACAATGATGTATGACCTCTCTAATCTAAATTCGATTTAAGATACTAACATTATAAACTTTATTAGTTTTTATTATAGACTCTCTAGTTTCAATCAGTAGTCTCAATAGTTTCATATTGTAATCATGCATTGAGTCAGCTCGACATTGGTTGTTTTACAGATTTAGATATGGCGTTGGCTTACTGGAACATCGTACTCAAGGGTCACTTCCGTTTTTTGCCTCAATGGTGCGAATACTTAGAGGAACACCACAAACGTTCTATTCCACGCGACACATGGAACCTTCTCCTCGATTTCGCAATCTCGATTAAAGAGGACTTGTCCAACTATGACCAGGAAGGAGCTTGGCCGGTTCTCATTGACGAATTTGTGGAATGGCTGCGGATTCGACAAACACAGACACAAGCAGGTTAAGATTACGTCTATATCTAAAACGAAGGTAACAATTGGGAAATAAGATGATTTGGGAGTTAGAGTGTCTAAAGATTTGTTAGTAATGGACCAGCAACCTAAGGATGGTAATAACTACTATATAAAACGGGTTTGTCCGTCATGTGGCACTAGTACAGTCGGTGAGTTGATGAACATGAGTACAACCCCGAAATATCGAGTACATGGCATAGAAAATAAGGTGACACGCCCTCTATTTTAGGAATGAGAAGGGTAGCACCATTTAACTAGGTTAGCGCGGCGCCCCGCATTCTTTTAGATAGTAGTCATACTGTAGGCAATAGGCTGGTTTGATGACAATTGACTATATTGTTGTTGATTTACTATCGTCAAGATTTAAAGGTCTCAATTACGATGCTAGATAAAAATATCGATCATGGTAATAATATGGAAACAATGACTGGGTTAGTCGGCAGAATTTTCTGTACAGTGGGCGCTAATGTATATTTATTAAATGAAATAAAAAACGGATGATTTTTAGATAAATCCATTATAGCAAGGAGATAGCCAGTGTAACGGCATACAAGATCGCTCCTGTGAATAAACTATCGAATGAGGAATTATATCCGGTAAAGACAAAAGATATGTTTGGCTTTTCCTTTCGCCCTGTGTATTCCAATATTTGCTATCAGGTGTACTGAATAAGATAACATCATTACACGCAGATATATCTGTCCATAACCTTAACAGCGCAAGGTTGCCCGCGACAACCACGACACCAGATAAATATAACCAACATTTTATTTAGGTTGTCAGAGAAATCAGATGTTTCGTTTGGCCATGGCTCCGTTTGAACACATGCTCATTTAATTCAAAGGAAACTGTTCTGAAGCTCTTGCTTCTTTTTCAAAGGTTCGTCTCATGACGTTATCTAGGAAATTGAAGAAATCGACGACTTTCATATTAAGGTTTTAAGCAATACGTAAACGACATTTCTTAATAAAAGTACTTAATTTGTAAATAGGCACATTTTAGTAACGCAAACTCATCCTGATAATAACGGCGAAATACAGAACCACAGTAATCTTTACAATGCATTTCATAGCTTTTTCGCCCACTGAAAACCACGCGATTGGTCTAGCATACTTATAGTTTAAGCTATTATCTAAAGCAATCCCTGAATCGGAGGCCTTGTTGGTTCCCTTGTTGATATTTGTGTGTTCAAGGCTAAAATGGCACAACAACGAATTCAAACGATACTAGTGGTTTGGGTCCAGCAAAAGGAGTATGGCGTGACCAAAATTGACATCACAGAGAATTGCTTTTTTCGGTTAAGTAATTACATATGGCTCGTTTTGAGACACGGGTAGTCTATTTTGACTTTCGAATTGTTACTATCATGGTAATGTGGAGCCCACAGATGAGTTGGCGTAGTGCTATAGTGTTTCGTATGTTTGAAAGCACCTGTAATCGCTCAATTATCTATCTTATATAATAGCTTAACCTACTACAACTATCTTATATAATAGCTTAACCTATTATATAAGATATGTCATTTTTCTTTCTTTAGCGACTCGTTTACTAATGCGGCACCCAACGTTTACAATCCTCATACAAGCCACCTGTCAGGCTTGACATTTGACTCGGCCGCCAGATCGTTTATTTCCGCAGAGAAGCCACAGTCATCAACATCGTACCGTCCTGAAAAATCTAACGCCCTAGTGGAATCCAAAGCCGCCTCTGAACCACAAGCGATGCTGGCAGACCGGACGCAGCTTTAGTGCTATTGCCGCTGTAATTCTCAGTTTTTGTGTTAGCCGAGCCAGAATTGTATAAATTACAGTTAATCACATAAAATCCTTGTTGAGGTAAAATCCTTTTTAATTTTGCAAGGTTCTCTAGATTTGACGTAACTCTTACATATTCGGCGATCTGTTACTTTTTTCTTCTTACGCATTTTACTAGCATTCTGACACACTCATTAGCTTCTGACCCAATTTAATAAAGCAATCGTATAGGATGCGTTTTACGCATTGTATTATACAAGGCACTTAACAATCAAATTCTCAAGCTGAAGGCTATACTGACTACACTTTTTTCTGATGTAGCAGTAATTGATTAACTCGTCAAAAATCCTTTTTGCGGTTCGTGCGTGGATGTGATTTCTAATGGTTTGATTCGTCTATCAATATTTGTTATCTTCTTGTCACCTACCCGTATTTTGACAATTTCCCACAACTAATAAGACCCTCTTCGATAAATTGCTGCTAAATAGTTCGCAAGACGCGAAACCCTTATTCCACAAAAATGGGAATATATATTCCTAGCCAACATACAAATTCCAAGTGTTTTTTATCACAAAATACGGGAAAGTCGTCAAAAGACGTACAGTTCTTTGTTTCTAAAGATAGATATATAAATGAAAACGACAATAGTTACAGCGTTCTAACAACTTATCGTATTTTTATTTCTACTATTGTGAATTGGGGGCAGCGGGTGGGGCTTCGAGGATCTGTGGCATTCTGCTTACTGTGCCTGTTTAGCTTACGAAAAAACCGAACGGCATACCTGATCGTTGTATTGGGTTTCAGTACTATTTGTAGGCTCTTCTATGCTGTTAACGTCATGCGATAAGATGCGTCATGCGTCTTCTTGCCCTTTTCAAGTTACCTTAATGTATTATTAATTTCGCCGGCCACCTCTGATTCTACTCTTTAAACAAACATTTTAGGAGCAATAGTAACAGTAGTATTAATAACTGGCATTGTCGCTATGGTAATAGTGCTAGTAATGACAGTATCCGTAACAATAGCCATGTTTAACAGGAAAAGCCGCAAGGAAGCAAAATATATCCCAGTTTTAATACAATAGAAAACATTCTGCGAGTTTTTTGATACTTCTACTTTTCATCTGCCGCTTTTGCTCTTTACTTTTTTTCCTATATTTATCTCTTATTATTTGTCTAGTTTGAGTGTTTTTGCAATCTGCTCATATTAGTTACAAAAAATAACAGATTTCATTTGTATGCTACATAGAATCACTATTCTAATATTTCTGTATCTGTCACCGCTTCTCTATTTTCAACTCTTTTCATCTTCAACCTGTCCATAATCACATGTATTCGTTAGCTAGTGCCGCGTAACTCGAAGAAATGATCTCGTTAGTTCGCCGGGTAAAGTCGCAGCGAGCACAGTGTTATGTTTACTCATTATTCTGCTTTCTAATTGTCACTACCTAGTGACCACTCTGACGGTTTAAAATCTGTGTGTTTAGTATTAAATTTAATTATGAAATGTAACATTGCACTTACCAAATTATTCACTGCAGTTTTAGAAAGAACAATACTGTTTGCTTTCTCTAGCTCTCGCCTCGCCTAATTCAATTGAATTGTGTTACATGTCTTAGCTTGACTAAATGGCTTTCAATTTAAACCGCCATTATATACAGTAGTAGTCCAACTAGTCATTCAATCATACGAAAAGGTAATAGCCATTAGTTCTACATTTCCCTGCTTGAGTGTTTATCACTGTTTACTATATGAATTGACTAATTCCATAGTTATGCCCATCAATATCCAGAGATGTCCTCGCAAGCAAAGGGACCAAGAGTCCACCTTTAGTTAGTAAAATATATCTCAGCTAATCGCTCATAGTTGGTACCATTGTAATAATGTTGTTGGGTCCTCTCAAACTGCACTCTTCTTACGCATAGCTATTATTTTTTTACTGAATAAGTCGGCAAGTGTCATTCGTACTCCCGGCCGCTCGTATTGATATTTGCATTTTCCGGTTTTGTTCGTCCTTCGTCCACCACCTATTATTATTGTTATTGATAAAATGGATATCTTTACAAAACCTTACAAAACTATTTTGCAATTCATTTATTGTGGCTCTACAGTTCAGGTTACAAACGGTGCAAGTGATGAAATGTTCCCCAACAAACCCTCCGATAGATTAATTTTAACAGTTGCCTTTTATTATTCTCCCCTTATCTCTACGTTTTGCACCCTCTACCTGTGAGGATGCAGGTATAAGCTGTGTCACTCGTTGCTGCACCGAAAAGCGCATCTTTTTGTTGTTGTTGCCATCATCTACATTGTGCATTTTCATATTCAAATTTTCGTCTTCCCATGTTTACAGCTTTTCCTTACTTTTTACGATAATCTACACCTATTTAATAATCTATTTACCTGGGCTCAGCCTTTAAGAGAGAAGCACGCACAAAAGGCAAAAGAAGATGTATTACCAAATATTAATTAATAATACAAGGAATATTAATTAATAATACAAGGCTATAATTAATAATAAGTTTCATTATTATTATTGTAATGATAATTTATCATTATCATTAATATCGTCCCTATCGTTGTCACTGTTATCATCATTATTCATCTTTAGCTTCTCAATATCAGCATAAGGGTGGTAACCTAAGAAAATCAACATTCATGTTTTATCAACTTCATTGTTCAATTTCCGCAAAGTTTTCATTATATTCATTATCGTTATCATGTCATTGTATATACAATACACACATAGACTAAATGACACATGAACACTGACACACCAACCATCAGTCAACTATCCAGCCTTACTTATTCATTCATTCATGGCCTCATTCTCGTTTACTTTGTAACTTACACACCCATACACTGTTGCTTACGCAAATTCGAAGCTTTCAACATCATACGAGATCCCCCGATTTTTTCTCTGACTTACTTCACTATTTTATCGTCATCGCTATGATCTTTCCGCAAATTCTTTTCATCTTTTCATTTTCATCTGTAGGCATTTTTACTTCCTCTGTGTTGTCACCCTCGGTAATAGTCTGCAAACTACAAAGTGGTGTGGCCTTCACTGTTCCTGCCACACAAGACTCTTCTTCCGATACGAAATTTTATTTTTGAATCCTCAAAGCTGATCAGTGACATGCTGTGACGGCATATTGATTTAATTAGACTAAAGAAATCATCAGATCCGACTTGACAATCCGATCTCGAGCCAACTTTATAGTTATATGAACTTTTATCTAAATTATAATATTAGGGTTGAGATACCGGATGCTTAAGCTTACTCGCTGTCACGCGTTCGATTACAGTTCCGCAGTCTTCGTTCAGTCCGCCACTCGCAGACGTCGAAGACTTCCCCTTCTCCCTTTCCCATCACCAGGCGGAATCATACAGCGTAGTCTCGTTGTGCTCGCTAACGGCAACAATTATTTTTATTTATCTACAAACAGAAAGAGAATGCAAGTCGTCTTGTTTGTGATGTGGTACTATTTTTTTAACATCTATACACTTCTATTAAATGATCGGGGGATATCGTATCAGAAAAGAATTGATTTAATAGATAAAGTGACGGCCCCTTAGCGGACGGCAGCACAGGTTGATGGAACTTTTTTACATACAATACCTCAGTAATATTTATTTTAACTATTTATCCATTCCGAACGTGATGTATGCAAGCAACGTTCCAACAGACACTAACCCCGTGAGGTAAAGGGGTACGCTGATCTTTATCACTAGCAATGTTGCATGTCTCACACAAATAATGCACGGCCGTCCAAAAATGAGCCGTCTACCTATTAATCGCTAATCAAAGTAGGTGGTACACATAATCGCTTCAATAGGGATTGTTACATCTGTTTATGCCAGTTCATAAGATACGCACGCAGCCCAACTTAAGGAGATTCTATCCATCTAAATAATCCTCCTTGCTTGCTACCAAATATTAAGATTAGAAATAAAAATAATAATAATGTATATTACCCAAAGACATGCGATAAAGACCAACTAGTAGCCCTGCAAGACGCAGCATGATTTACTGATACAGTTCGCTTTAATTTTTCACGTTTGATTTAAAAAGACAACTATTATGTCTTACTACGTTTACAAGAAAGAATTACCAGTCGTTTTCCAAGGCCTACTACTATTATCAGAACTTCTAACTAGCAACAACATGATCTTACAGTAGCTGTACTGTCCCACTTTTAATATCAGTATCGCCTGTCATCGGGATCTCCAGCAGATGAATACTCCACTACTTGCGGAAATTAATTTGGTCCACAATTAAGCCAGGAGTAACCAAATGCTACATATCATACAATCTTAATACAATACATACATAGAGCTATGTATGTCCATGCTGTGCGAACGGTTCCTGTGAAGTTGTTGTCGGCACTGCGCAGTTGTTTAGTTGCTGTTGTATGTGTGTCGGAGGAGAAGAGTTGATGAAGGCGGTGGCTGTATTGGCATTACGCCCTAACATCCACTATTAGCAGCAACCTTCTCCAAAATCGCTGACGAAAGCATGCAGCTGGCAGATGTGTCAATGTGATTAATATCACTGGAATATATCCGTCGAAATACACTCATTTTCCGCTAGCCCATGCTAAGGGCTATTTATGTATTTTGACAGCAGTATAAATTTTATATTTTGGCATTGCTCTGTTCTATTAGTTGACTATCGTGAGTTGCCTGGCTTCCGTCGAATTGCACGCTTCACTTTACGACCCGAAATCACTGGTCCATTAAATGGGTTATCAGCGGATTGACCTCTAAAATATAAAATTAGTATAAGTTAAGTTCAAGAAGAAGTTATGGGCTAACCTATATTATTATTATTAGGATTAGCGACTAACATTATTAGAGATAGGCAATTTTGCATTCCTGGGTTTTTGTATTGCCATAATTTAATACATACGGAGCCAAGTCGGTTTCTCTATATTTTTTAGGCAATGCGTTTTCTGTCTTGCCTTTTATTCAATATAAGCATTACTCAGGTACTGAACTTTTATATCACAGTGCGTATATTACAGATCAGCACGAGCTTCTTACTATCCTGGAAAATTTAGCTCTTTATTGGGGTCTTGTTTGGGTTAAAATACCATAATAGGGTTGCATTTAGCGAAATTTAAGAACCATATAAACAAATGTATAACAGTACTGCATTGCACCAAATAAGGCAAGTTGGATCATATTTTCAATTTGCCACTTAATTTTTAAGCGGAGTTTGGATCGCTTATAATTTAAGGCTTCTGACCGCAAACGATCAAATATGTTAAACGATTTCCTAGATGCACGCAGTACAGTCTTTCTCATGCTCAGTATAGTAACGTCATTTAGATTTATTCGTGACCTTTCCTGAACAATGACATAGCCCACTGTCGATTTTTTCTACATACATGAACGAAGGAATTCCAGGTGCGGCCGGTGTACCTGTTGTTGCACCAAACTGGAACGGAGCAGCAGTACCAGCTAGTCCAGCTGGTGGCTGAGCCCCAAACTGGAAGGTCGTTGTCGCGGCGGGCTGAAAATATAATTGACGTATAGTCCATGTTAACGGCTCCAGCCGAGATTTGTCCATTCTCAGCTATCGTAATCAGTTTTTACGCCATTACTTTTTTATAATTTCTGTAATCTCACGAGAAATTTCGTTCAATTGTTGAGGTAGTAGATGAACTCACCGCTGCCGCGGGGCTCGTAAATTTGAACATTTCACCGCCCGTTGAAGAATTAAGATTGCTCATCGTTGGAGTGGCACAAAACCCGAAAGGGGTGGCAGAGGCAGGCGGAGCCGTCCCGTTGTTGGTGTTAGTATTAGTGTTGTTGGTTCCGCCTGGGATTGTAGATGCCGCTGCCGAATTAGCTCCGAAAGCAAACATTGTTGCAGGCCCACCTGCTACCGTATTGGCGGCGGATTGAGACCCTGTAGAAGGCTGGCCAAAGACGAAGGATGGCACCCCACTAGGTGTGGGGGTTGGTGCAGCGGTTACCGCTGGAGTAGAGGGTGCAGATGCTCCAAACTGAAACACTGAACCAGATGAAGCGGTTCCACCTCCAAAAACAGGTGTTGCCGACTGCGTTGGGGCTGAAGCGGCAAGTGCTCCGAAAGTGCTAGCTGGCGGCGTCGCTGTGGATGCAGCTGGTGCTCCAAAACCTCCAGGTGCTGAAGTCAATGGTGTGGCGCTTGCAGATGACGCAGCTGCCCTTTGTCCGAATGTGAACATTGGCGGAGTTGAAGCATTAGCCGCTGCCTCGAAGTTGTACCCAGCTGATGCCGAAATAGTGGAGGAAGCCGCTGGCGTCGAGGAGCTCGTGTTCGATACCCCAAATACAAATGGCGACGACGCGGGAACAGAGGGTGCCTTCGAAGTCGTGGGTTCGGTCGAAAGTGCTGTACTTAAAGCAGGAGTCGCTGACAGAGGTGCAGATTGCGAGGTATCTAGAATGGATACAAGTAGATTACGTTACAAAACAACTTCAAGTCAAGAGAAAGGGTGCCTTTAAAGGGACTTTGACTAGTGTAACCGTCACGCCTGCACTTATGAGCACAATGATATGCAAATTTGTCATGAATATTTAATTAACGATTTTTGCTTATAGTTTTAGACTACTGAAAATAATGCAATTTATTCGGAATCATTTTCAATGGCGTCGTAACAAATGGTAGACCAAAATAACAGTCAAATTTACCCATGAAACAGATATGGAATATTTTCTTGAAAAATTTCAGCTATCACAACTGGAATGAACATGGAACTAGTAGCGTTTGACCGTAGTCAAAAAGCTAACATAACAAGTTAGCTCATACAGATTAGAGCAACAATAGTTTACTTCAACAAGCCTGCAAGTACAAGATTTGATTAATTCGTCTGTGCCCAATCAGACTAGAACAGAGAATATTGTGGCTTTATGTCCCCGACACTAGCGTCAGCTCCATTCCGCAGAATCGCTGGGATTATCTCGATACCAATAATAAAGCCTTTCGTAAAGGTTAATCCATATCAATTAATCATAATTTTCCTTTTTTAATCATATTTCCAATTTGTAAATAAGATTCTAAATTGTTTCATGGATACGTGTGTACACGGTGCTTGGAATAAATTATGTCAACTGGGTGTACTTGTCTATGCTGGCATTCAAATGGAAACAGTTAATTGGGAGATCTTATTATAAAAACAATCCTAACCAACGTATTAATTCGATATAACTACTGTTCGCTTCGGTCGGGGCTTTTATTCAAAATCTAAGCCACTCATGAATCATTTGCCGAAATTCGCATACAAAATTCGAGAATAACTTTTCAACCGTAATCGCGACTAAAGTTATATTGGTAATATTAGACGTTAAGATCCTCTTTTTTGTTCTAGAAAGAGACAGGTTTTCAGGAGCACCAAGTCTAGGAGTTCACTAAAAGTTTTCTAAGATGTACCCCAATTATTCGCAAGTAATCCGTATAACATATAGACTAAAATCTTTGATTTTTTTTAGCCACAGACCTTTCCATTCGTAAAAACTCTACCACGAAATTTTTATAGGTCATATTAGAAACAACAATGCGCAAACAAGCATTTTATCTGACATACTCTATGATAAAGAAATCTGCTACGGCAAATGATGCAATGCAACTGTTACTTGTAAATATCAACTGTCACATATCAAAACCATATTAAAATATATCAAAACCATATTAAAATTCTGGAACTATTGTTTTTTCGGCCCTATTATTTTATTAGGCTCTTAAGAGAAACATTAGACTTCCTTTATTAGGCTTCTTAGTAAGAAGTGAGCTAAGGCAAAATGAAGGCTAGGATCGATATCTGAGTGATTTGTTAATTCATATAACGCTGTAGAACTGCCCAGATGCTCTTTTTTTTCCATCTACACAACAAATTACACTATGCAAGTCCTTTTACACCATATAATTTGCTTAGCATACAAAGCCTATGGACAATGTCTATTGTCACAGTCCTGCCAGTGCGATAAAATCTTTAAATATAAAAGCCGAGCAGTAAAACCTACCGAAACTGAAAAGTGGTTTTGATGCCTGAGAAGTAGTCTCGTGCGGAGAACACGAGGGCGGTCGTTGTGTTGCAGCTGTGGGCACAGCTGCTGTGTTTAACGGCGTAAATGAAAAGGCCGAGGAAATCGGTGCCGTTAAACTCTCCGTTGTAGTAGCCGTCGCTACGGAAGAGGGAGATGCACCGAACAATGTCGCGGTCGTTGTGGCTTGTGTGGTGGTCAAACTACTGGATCCGAATAAAGTGGCACTGATAGTGGATACGTCACAAGCAGTAAAAGCAACTGGTGTCTGCGATTTAACTATATTATTATCGCTGGCGCTAGGCACAGTAACAGAAGTTGGTGTTCCAGACGTAACGGTTGTCGATGTTGGTGCCGTTGTATCGGTTGTTATAGTAGCGGGTACAGCTGGCGAACCAAACGAGAACGTCGCAGAAGAAGCTGTGGTGGCTGGAGTGGAAGAGGCAACCGAAGTTCCGAAAGCGAACACAGGAGTTGAAGTCGCAAATGTGGTGGTTGTAACTGGCGAAGCCGACGTCGTCGGCGATACCCCAAATGCTAACCAATGAGAGTGTAAACAGGTTAATTTCTACTTCATTTGTGAGCAAATGATTCTGTAATGGATGAATTTCAAGGCCAATAGGTCCAGGAAGACCCCTGAGGTAACAGACTCGGGTAAAAAGATAACTAATGATTTAAAAAAAGGAGCTTTTTATACAAACTGGCGTCATACGCAAAATGATAACAAATTAAAATTATTATTTACTATTATTACTTATTACTTACTAAAAAGCCCCCCCACTCCTGCTGTGGGAACTGCAGCCTTGGTATTATCGCTGCTTTTTTCCTCTTCGGATTTTGATGCCAGCGCGTTAGGTGTGCCAAACTTAAACGCGTTTCCGAATCCCATAATTGCTGCTGTATTTATGGGAGCTTTATCGTTCACACCAGATTTTATTGCTGGCGCAGCATCTTTGGTCGATGTCGAAAAGGTTGGCCTGTTATCATTCTCCTCCTTGGTATCGTCACTTTTTTTTTCACCTTTTTTCTCGTTCGGAGCAGAATTCGAGGGTTCTTTAAATGCCAATGTGGCCGCGGCTAGTGCGCCTTCTGTTTTCTTTTCAGCAGTATTCGTCTGTCCAAACGGAATATTGTTGCTGTTAGTCGCATTCGTATTGGGAGTTGCTGAAGGTACGCCAAACTTGAAAGCCGATGTCGTGATAGAGGCAGCAGTAGTTGAAGATGCCACTTGACCTGGCTTAGGCGCTTCACAAAAGGCACATTTCACACTCTTTATATCATTTCTTTGGGGGCACTTACTGCATTGCCACCCAGACTGCATCACGAAAACACCGCCAAATGGCAATGCGGGTTTTACGCTGGAAGTTGGCATGGGTCCACTACTTAGCTTCACAACTGGTTTCGGCTTCGAACATGCCACGCAACTAGTCGACTCGGAATCATTGCTAACCATACAATCATTGCATGTCCATGAGCCAGGTACTTTCTTAAATAAGTCCCCCCATTGATTTGGTGGAGCAGCGCTTGATGCAGAGCTTTGTGCGACAGCCGTAGAAGTTATCGCTGGATTTTTTGTTTCACATGCTTTGCATTTGTCATCGTTGGGCCCATTTGTAACGAAACACGTTGGACAGTCCCACTGGCTGGGGGACTTCCGAAACTGACTTCCCCAGTCTGAGGCTTCACTCGGCATTTTATCTTTTTTTTCCGAGCTTAGAGCGTCAAGCACACTTCCCGATGTAGCGAGTTCGGCCGATGGCGAGGGGGTCTTACCAATCTCTTTTACTTTGAGACTACCAGGATTGCCTACAATCATAGTGGGTGCTGCGATCGTAAATGAAGGTGTTTTGTTTAGGGTATTATCAATACTACCGCCCTTATTCAGATAAAGAGGATGTTTGAATTTAAACTCCTCCTCTTTGGACGAAGACACCTCAGTGGGCTTTGCAAGACTTACCGGCCCAGCGAAAGTAAACACTTCAGGAGAATCTGCGCCAGGACACACAGGCGGCACGGACGATTTTTCAAAGGGCTTGTTACTGAAGTCCGCCAGCGAAGTTAACGGCGAACGTACAGATCCAGCCTTCGATACCGGTTCTGTCCCTGCAGCAACCACAACCGAAGGTTTAGTTGAAAAACTAAAGTGAGGTAATGTTTTAATGGGAAGAGGTACGGAAACTAGATCAGGATCCTCGGGAGCTGGTTCCTCCTCGGGAATCAAGCCTTTCCGATTAGAATGAATCGATTTCGTCGGTTTTATCTTCCCACCGCCTTTATCTGTACCAGGAACATCGATAACTTTTGAGACCCGATGATGGCTCGATGGAGTTGAAGTGACAAGAGGAAAACTAGACGCTATCGGTGGAACTGGTATTTTGTCTGAATCGACATCGATGGTGTAATCGTGCTGGGCAGCTGACGTCACATTACTACCGATCTTGGCGTTCTCAACTGGCGTACGACATGTGCTCAATGTTGGTGGCATATTTTGGCGAAGTGATGCAATTGATTCTAGCGCCTCTTTGCGCCTGAGTTCTGAATCTTGAGAAGCGACGCTGTCTGGCCTACCCATAGGAATTCTTTTCGCATTCTGTACAGGCGTGTTTATCCTCTCCAAAGCTTGAATTAGCCTTTTCGCCGACGAGTTCTGTCCTTGAACACGCACATTTGAAGGGGCCTTAGAGCGTGTCGCTGACATTTGATACGGACTAGGGGAAAACAAATTAAGCTTTCTGTGTGCCGCTGCTCCGCCATAAGTTGTCTTCCCGTCATAGAAAATGCTACGGTTTAGACTTCGTTCAGGCTTCTGAAGCGACGACGACAGGAGTCTATTATGCTTTCCTGCCAATGGAAGTGTGGTATTTAGCGTGGATGAGAGCGCTCGAGATGGCCGAGAGAAAAGCGAAAAATTTAACGATGACGGATCGGCTGCTGCTGTAATGACAAGCATACCAATAAAGAACCGGCCTATTGTGTTAAGGATTGGTACTGCAGATCAGTAAGTTTAAAAAAGGAATACATAAATCGGTGAATTGGTATAATCTGAAATCATGTTTTTGAGAAAGATAGTACATTAGAGCCTCGTTACATTTTTTTTAATGTTCCTATTGAAAACAAATAGATGCTGCAGAAATACTTAAAGAAGTACCTCTTCAATTATAGGCTACTATTATCAGTGGGCCCGATGCGCTTTCACGAGAATAGTAAACTTAGCTGGTTTATCATTCAGTCATTTAAATCAAAACTGATTGCCAACTTAGAATTATTTAACACCAAGGGACCTACAGGTTTCCGCGGTGATGGCAATCTGTTCTGCACCGATACTGACATCTCTGGTTTTGCTATTGTCTGTACTGGGGGCCGCTGCTGTTTGTAGTGGAGGTCTTAAAGTTGCAGAGCGACCGGGATTTGGCCGATTGGGCACTCGCTGTTGGTCGTTCGATCGATGATCGACTCCGTCGGGAGTGCTTGCCTCCGCTGATGTTGGAGGATTCGTTCCCGCAAGAGAAAGGGAGGAACAGCCTGATGTTGATGAGTCCGATCCATCGTCAAGGTCACAAGCATCATCGGTTGACGTGGTTGGGGGAGATACTAGTGTGACAGAAGAAAGGCGCGTAACAATGACCCCTACATTCACATCGTTTGTTGATAGCATGAAATATAGGAACAGCAAAAAGGAATATGGTGAATGTAAAGTGGTATAGCCTCATGGCATTCCAATGGTGTTTTTACAAGAGAGGAAATCATCAGGCTCAGATTGTTGGTAAGCGATTCGTTTAAGAAACTGGACCATGATATATAACTATTTTTGATAATAACATAACTTCGACCTTCCGATGCTAAGTAATTTACAACTTTTTTTAAAAGTATGTATACTGTTAAACGGTAATGAAGGTTTATATATATATATATATATATATACATTATTCATGCAATTAAGATTTTACCATCAATAAGTAGTACTTTCTGAGACGCATTTTTCAAAAAGAATAATTGTTGTTCATATACAGAGATTCAAAGGATTGCGATCCAATTACAATAATCATAGACGCTACATTTCTACATGGCCCGCAGATATCCAAATTTCTAGCTGTACTACTTGACCTGTATGCGGAATAACCATCCATATTAATAAACAAATTGACGCGGTAGATGCTTTTCACGAGGAAAACAAAGTACGAGGAAGTGTCGCCGTCGATATTCCATAATTCAGGTATGCTGGCTACACATACACACACACATATATGTATATATATATATAATGCATTGTAGTAGTAAAGAAAGTGTCGCAGATCCGTTTTCCTATTATTTTGCAATAACTTAGATTTTGTAATTCAGTGGATTTAGGCCTGTAAAACCGCAAAATCATAAGATCTCGATCAAGAACGACTGTCCGTCTGTAAAGGAATCTAAAATTGCTATTTTGCGGCTTCCGAAAACTCCTGTGGCGTAAAACACTATGGTCAGCCGGATCTGATGATAGCCATAAAAACGCTATTGGTAGCATTCCACTAATTTCGATAAATATATATATATAAAGTAAAAACTGATGTTTCGCTTGCTACAAACCAGACAATGTACGAATCATTATATAAAAAAGTTTAATCATACCTCTTACCCAATGCGAAAGGTGTATGCAGAACATGTGTGACAAATGTTTTGGTATATGAAAAATGTTGAGCTAATTCTTGTCGTAAGTTATTACAATTGATATGGTTCTATGCAAATGTTTCGATAATGTGACAAGGTGACGAATACATAAATCCCTCCAGCCATCAAATATACACTATAGTATTGGAAATAACTATGAAAAAGAATAAGGTGAATTGAAAACAGAACTGAGTACAGGAGGGATGTTTGTTCATTGTTGGGCAAGGTGACAATATTAGTCTCATTCTATGGATAGCACTTTTTTTAGGATTATTACATGAACAATTACTACGCTGATCATTTAAAGCTACGAGTAATAAGTTCACATAAGTTTTATAGCAATCAAAATAAAAAAAATGCTAATAGAAGCCGCCATAGCTCATGATGGTGTTAATGATGATTATGATGCTCGGACAGACCATGCGTACCACGTCTCGTTGCCGAGTGAGGTGCTATGTCGTTATTAAAGCGAGCGAGCTTGGAACTACGCTCACCGCCGTTTCTAAGGTTGCTGTAATGTCGCCCATGTGATCCGGTAGAAGATCCAGAGCCTGAAGGCTGGTCGTCGCTCAGTGGCACCCGGTATCCGGCAGACATCTGTCCAATAGCCTCGTGTTCACTTGCCCACGATGGTAGTAACCACTTGGCAACTTCTGCCACAGAGTCCAACATCGTTCGTCGCCGCTGAAAGTAACCAAACGAATGATACGAAATAGAACAGTATATTGTTAGATAATTAAATCTTCGGCGTCAACTTTCACATACATTAATTCTTAATTATTTTAATCATCCTATTATTATATCTGTTAACAGATGCCATGTGTAGTTCTTTGTCCGAATAGTACGATGCGGAGGTCAATTTGTGTAACTGACTCATTCGGCAAGCTTTGGTTAACGATTTGACCATTTCTAGCAGTCGGCTGGCTTGCGGACCGCTGCTGGTCGTTCAGTAAAATACAATAGAATATGTGCACGAGAGAACAAGTAAACGAAGTGGGGAAGTCCGAAATATGCTGGTATCCGCAAACTTTGAAGATAGATACCGGCAGGCATTAACCGACCAAATAACTGGATCTAAGCACATACGTTGTGCACAAAGTAGGTTGCAGTGCTCCAATTCGCATCGAACACATGACGTCTCGTTTTGATTTATACTTACAATAATTATGCACGTATATGTGTGCTGAACTAAGGCACTGCTTTTAATGCTTACGATGTTTTTTCCAACGTTGGTAATGAAAGCTCATGCAAGGAAGAGTGAACGGCGTGCAATTGAATTGCAAGCATTTACTCTGCTTGTAGAGTGTAGTAACAAGAACGCTGTATTTAAGAATCAGTTTGATATTGGGGCCTTCACGAGTGCTCTTTATCTTATGCGCCGCTACCACTGCACGCGCCACAACCAAAATGCGGAAAATAAATAATTTTTTTATGGGCCAATACACCTTGACTTGTTAAATTCAGTAGCTATTAATCGATGTTGCTGCCGTAATTTGACTTTAGGAATTAGATTGGGGCACACAGGTGAGACCGAGAAAAAGAATCAGATACGCACCTTGCCACCTCGCGGTTGGCTTGAACTGTTGATGCTGTCGGCCCGCGAGCCAAGCGAAGAACGTTTTTCAGCCATGCTCTGTCCGAGTGGCCGCCCCGTTGTCGTGGGCTCTGCGCGTCTTCGATTTTCGACCAACGGCAGTCCCGTCTGTCGTGTGATATTGGCTGCTATTACTCTTCCTTTACGACGCCTACGGCACCCGATGATTTTTCTTGTTATCCCTACTTGGTTTAGTACCTCGTATATTAGTCAATTCTACTGTAGGCTGGCTAAGACGCACGCAGACACGGACAAGTGTTGGCTGCCTGCCTCTATTTCAAGCCACCATTACCACAAGCACTATTGTAATTATTAGATACATCTACTGCTACAACTACGATTACGTTCTTTCTGCCGCCGTCCTTCGCTGCTGAAGTTGCACAAACAATCGCAGTCCTATCGGCGGAAAGCAACCATGCCCGAGAACGAACGTGTCTAGCACGACCGCACGTTCCCTAGTCAACTTATTCGTAGATCACTAGGCCCTACTGGGGCCGGACATCGACCGGCACCCGTCGTCAATAGCACGTTTTGAGCTGGGACAACCACGCCACTCAACTAAATGCTCACACCTCACGCATTCAAACGAACAATGGCGGTCAAAGCTGATCAGCACATCCTACCACAAACGAATCCAAATAGTACCACGACTTTCATACCAGACTGGTGGTACGGAACTCCCGGAAGTAAACCGACATCCGCGCGTTTGGCGCGAGATTTAGAAATAGGTGAGAGAAGAGACCAAAAAAGAACTGAATCCACTTGAGCAAATCACAATAGACACACGACATACACATTTTACATGATTTATATATAGACATATATACTCTACTCTCTGTTAATTCAAATGGGTCTCCGCACCCCATAGATGATAAATATTCGGCAAAAGTATGGGCATTCAGAGGTTATAACAAAAAAGATACCAACGGTGTCTATGAGAAAATAACGTGCTTAAGCAGACTAGCGCGTAATTTTTTCCATATTTGTGTGCTGAAGCAACATAAGTGACAGTAGATTGTACTATTTGTCCAATTAAATAGTAATTAGTAAACGACATTTGATTAATTAAAATCGTAAAAACCTTTGTTGTGGGTTTGAATTAAATCGCTGAAGGATGAAGGATAACAGTTGTTTGAAGGTTTGGGAATAAGAAGCACGCTCATAATAGCGCTATATACATATACTAACGTGAAGTTCGCTTAAAGCGGCGAGGTTGTGCTTAAATTTCAATGGACGTCTTGCATTCCATAACTAAAATGATTTGCTGCCTGAATTTGGCTTTAATATTTCATAGAGACTTCTTTGCAGAAACCTATATATAAACCAAAAGCTGCTACCCTGTACTGTAGGTCCTACGGTTCCGACAACTAATGCTTGAAAACTTTGTACCGAACAAAAGCATAGCGATACGTTTGCTTATTGCTTAATATGAAGTTTGACGGTGAGCAGCCATTGCCATTACTCCTCAAGTTTGGCTATTGCAGCTATTTCCACTTCTTTTTGGGGAGGCAAATCATTTAAATCCCACTTTATGTTTATTCTTTGCTTAGCAGATCACAGTGTTAGTTTATTAAAAAAAAAAAAAGGCAAAAAGTATAAAACAGATGATGTCAACGAACGAAGAATTTTACCCTAACTGTGGTGTCTCGTAAGCTTTTTTAGATTTTCTTTTTCCATTATATTATTGTGTAGATAGTGGCGCTTTTTATTTTGAGGGCGACAGAAAACAACACAGTCTGTGTATTACCAGAGCAAAATGAATGAATGGAATTGCACGAAACGTTACCTTTGAAAGCCTCTGTCAATCTCATATAGGATTGCCTAATTGTCAGAAAACCCTATAGGCACAGTGTTGTAACTGGCCAAAAAGGCACTCCTGCTTGGCTTCCTCGTTGTTAGAATATTTTATGTCTTACCACTGTGGTTGTGTTCTGTATATGCATAACGCAGTCTAAGCTCCCTCTAGGTATTTAGTCAAAGTTTAGTCAAAGACTAGAGGATATGTTTTATTTTTTTTAACTCTATCGTGAAAGGTTGTAGCGCATAATTTGATGTTGCGGTCGGTTAAACTATGTCAACGTCTTTTTAAAGGGTACGTAATTATATATCGTTAAACGGAACGTTGGATGAACTGAAATCGCAACTAAAAATGTATTTATGTACTATGCTAATGATGAAGCGTAATGTTGACTCTATTAGTTTGAAGACAACACATTTCAGAAATGTGTAAAAACGGTTCACTGAAAGTCCTTTCAAATATATTTATTTCATAAGGAGAATTCACTTTTCCATTTTTGGCAAACGCATTTAATATGAATCATGTCAAATAATATATACAGCTGTACAATGCAAACAGCTAATATACGACACATAATAAATGAAAAGACACACATCACAATCTTATATATAGTAACAGTATTCGCAGGAACATAGGTCCATTACACCTCTTCGGTCTTCTCAACCACTTGGCATAGGTTTTCTCTAATCCAACTGTTCCAAGGCTTCTCTTTCTGACAGTTCGCGCATTTTGCCATGACTGGAATAAGCATGTGCGGTTCACGCGATGTTATTACGCATTGTTGAGCAAAACAGCGCAAATGGGTTGGGGCAGCTGTACACGAAGTACATCGACAGCAAACTGATCTTGCAAGGTCCGTTTTGCAGAGAATACATGGACCACGAGGGGGCGGTGGAGGATAATATCTATTCAAAGTTTTTATCATTGTACAACAAACACAACAATGACGCAAAAAGTTTGAAAAATTAATTAATTTTTGTACTTCATAGTCAGTTGATTTGATTGAACTCGAATCGATTAAAATATTTTTTATTTGTTACCTTCATTCTGCGATTTAACTGACATAACAGAGTTTCCCAAGACTGTATTGTGTGCTCGTTGTTAGTATTTCGCTAAATTTCCTCACGTTGTCAATAACCAAAATATTGGTAACACATTGGGTGTCTATTTTAATTTAACAAACCTTGTAATTACATAATAAAATTGATTTCAAATATACATCTTTATTAGTACACATCACATTTTTATTGCTGTATCAATAAAGTAGTCGCCGCATGAAGCTAAGTTAGAACCTATCTTTAGTGATTTTTAGTTGGACTTTTAGTTTAGTACTTACTTCGAATATTTCGGGAGGTCTACTTCTTCCCGAATAATTAGCATATGCGTAGGAGGTGTCAGGGGTAGCTCCTGCCATAAAAGAAGAATGAATGTATAGGTAAGTATTTAATATGCTTTTGTGCTGATGCATTTGTCGTATTCACTAAGAATAAAAAAACAGTATCAAAGTCAATTCGAAACGTCGACGTGGACATTATTTAACGCAACGCTTCGACTTTGTTAAGATATTCAATAAATTCAAGTTGTATTAATAAAACGTAACATCAATGTTTATATATAAGCTGTTTTGATGGTTATAGGTGAACATAGAGGTTCTGTTTTAGAAAAGTCACATTAATTATATTCACATGTGAAACGCCCATTTTCCTTGTCGGGCCGAAAAATTATTTTGGCTTGATACCTCATACGATGGTGACTAGTTGAAAAAATTGAAATTATTTTTTTTTACGGTTTGCTCTAAAAACGCTTGTGCTTACATAGCGCAAAGAAGACTTGTCACAGATAGTTCGTTATATTATTTTGGCATTTGAATTCACTTTCACAGACTTCCGAATATGAAAATATAACTCGATATCTTTATGTACTTAATACTCTGCGCATGTGAATATCGAATAATAAATAGACCAACGGAATAAATAAAATAATAATTGTGGAAATGCTGTATTTACTGTTTTCCGCCAACGATAAATAAAGTTACCTTGATGTACTTCGGTATAAGCCACTGCAATGTGAGGGACAAGCGTTTCCATGGGGCTACTGATAGCATGACGGACAACACACGAAGCGCGTGTTCAAATTTCGTCTCCTTCTTATACCTAAAAATTGGAGAAATTGCAGAAGAATAGCCTTAGTCATATTTTGCTAGATAAAGCAGTATTTTGGGTGGTATTAAATTGTATCTTTGATGCGCAGACTGTGCATTTGGTATTTAATTATTTTCAGTCTTACTCGAAATAATGTTAATCAATATAAAGAAACGCCTAGGCGGCATTTAATGACAAGTAATTATTTTGTATTAGAGTATTAGATGCGATGCAATAAACACTTGTGATCTTTGAGATGTTGTAGATTCAGAATACTTTTAAATGCTGTCGATATACATACAAGCTACTATGCAGTGCACATTGGGATATCACATTGGAACAGCTGAGTTTAGCTTTAACAAAACTATATATCGGAATAAATATCAAAAAAGGTCGCTTTATACAAGCACCGCACAAGCGAGTCTAGCGAATCCATTGCTGAGTGGAATTCATTTTTACCTCCTAACTGGTACGTGAGCAAGTCTTCGAGACTTTTTTGGATGTTGCCACGACCATTCAAATCTAAGTGCGCTTTTGTCGTTAGGAAATCCGTGTACTACCAATGTCATCTCCCTGAAAATGTTCGATAAAAAAAGAAGCTTTGTTATAGAATTTTGCTTCTGTTTAGTTTACAAATAATTGATAATGACGTAAATCGTATAAGGTAATTTAACTATTAACTTGAAAAAGTAACAGACCACGAGCCTTTTCGGTTAGTAGTATAAGCTCCTCCAGATGTGACACCCTTATTGTGCTGTTTGATTCGACGCCCAGGGTCGACAGTAAAGCCGATATAAGTGTCGCCAAAAAATTGTGGCGTGATGCAAAAGAGTAGATAAACACCGTAGAAATTTCCAGAAGCACTAGATGGTGCGACAGGAGGGTGTACAATCTGTTTATCTACTGAAACCGATGAGACATATTCTGGAGAGGACCTGGGAAAACTCATATCTTCCCTGTTAATGAATAAAAGGAATGTCAATAAGGTTAGAACGGTCTCACCTGAGAACTTTCTTAACTGGTTTATATATGCAACGAGCAAAATCTATTTTTATTTTTATTTTTTCTATTTCTTTTATATAGTTACACTGGAATTAATGGGATTATACCTGGAATAAGACACAGGACTTGCACACAAATGATTTCCGAAACAATGGGATCTTCTAACAAAACCATTGTTAATATTTTTACTATCTCTAATTTTTCATAAACTAGTCCAGTGGTGAAGGTGATTGCAGTAGTTTACTGCAAAATTTTTCAAGCTACATAAGTGATCGAAGAAAAAATTTAAGTTATAAGATGTTCTAACTTTACAGACACACTCTTATAATGCAACCCTGTATATCGTTTTTTTATATGAACTGCTTGGTACTTGCCGCTAGTGCATATTTGCTTCACCATTTTTATTAAACTGAATCCTAAAACAGAGGTGGTTAAAGTCTCCTACCTTGCTAGCCTTTATTGGCCCCGGCCGATATTTATTAGCTATTTCCTTACTTGTCAAAATTAAAACAGATTCTTTAACCTTTGTTTCAGCTGAAACAGTTGCTGGGTCGGCTATAATCGTTTTACTTGGAATAGTTATCAGTGAGTTCCTCACGAAATTTTCACTAAAAATGCGCACGTAAGATACTCGACGCAGGCAAGCACAACCTTTCCGTTTGCTGTGTTTTGAGTAATAAAGCCGCTTCTCATTGTAGTGTCTTTAGAACTTCACCAGACAAATAATAAATAACGAAAAAATGCTACCACCGGTTGTTGAGATATCTCAACTATGCAAAAAAAAAAAGCTTCAAAGCAAACTAAATGGAATGATGATACAAAAATCAATAGAATAATATAAGTAAACATGATTATATTTTTATGTGAATTGATTTAAAATAGGCAGTAACTTAGCGCGCAAAAATTTTACGTGAATCAGCTGATCTATCAACCAGTCAAGCCTGTAGCGCCTCCTTTGAAACAGTTGACTTCGTGATGGAAGTTTGTTTAGCCGGTTGCTTCACTGTTCGTAAATAGAACGCGATTGCTTGCGCTACTTCATGGGCGCGAGTTTTTCTGAAGGAACGAGTCCGTGCTTTTGGATTATTTTCACTATAAATAAAACAAAAATGTAAGTTCTTATTTTGGCGCCTTGTAACAAATATAAAAAGAATACTGAAGCATCCAAGGCATTGATATTAGTCAAGTTATTCAAGCTGTGTTCTGACGTAAAATAAAGGATAACATGAACAGGTAGCAAGAACGTTTTAAAAAGCCAACAAGGCAATCAAGCAGGAGAGCGCCCAAAAAGAACTCCTTAATATATTCATTGTAAGATAAATTAACAACGGGTAGATCTTTATTGAGGCAAAGGTGTGTACATATGGTGCAAAATACAAACTAGTGATTATTGAAGTATTATCATTATATTAGTATTACAATTAGATAAGTATCTTAGTAATAATACAATAATAATAACAGTACGTAATATACCCATAACTAGAATTTAAGTAAGTTTAAATTAGTTCATTATTCTTGTATGTTTTTATTGAAAACAAAGTTGTCTAAAAACATTCTGATTTAAAAGGTCATGAAGTAACGTAACGTATTATGCTTCCATACAATATATTATGACTTCTACACAGTACTGCTGCCATGATCAGCTACCGTAAACATGTAATACTATTCGTAATAGGAATGGCGCCTCATTGGTTAACTCTTTTTCGTACACAGACTGCCAAGTAGGGGGACGCTACCTTTTGATGCAAGTGGAAATATATTTAAACGATGAAGCTGACATTGTCCCCAGTCGCTGCAAAAATATTCGGTAGATCTGTACAGGCACTTGCGAAGGTCAGTAAAGTTTTAGTTATTCTTAGATATAAATTAATTTCGTTTAGAATGAAAACTAACTATTACTCACGTTTGCAGAAAATTTCTGAGCGGCCATATGTGCCCAAAAAAATCCGTACTTTTAGCTTGTATTAGAAGACTTTTGCCAATATGATACAGGAAATAGAAGAAGATGCTGATATTGCTAAATTAAAATAAAATTGAGCTAATACTGAATTGGTCCACTGTAACGTAACTATAGCCAACTTTTTTTTATTTTTTCATAATAATACCAGATCGGCGAGGAGATTGTTATTAATTCAACAGTCGACGATGGCCTTACTCTTCAGGCTGCAAATACGGCAAAAAGTGCGTTCGGTTGCGTTGTGTTCGGGAATGATTTTTTTCAAGAACAAGAAAATGCCATACGATTCACTGGTAAGTCTAGCCCAAAATTATCAACCTTTCCGAAAATGAAGACGACTGCATGTACCTTTTCCTTTTTTGTAAGAATATATAAATACATATATATATATACAAAATCTGTGGCTTCTGAACAAAAAGCTGCGACAAGCAATTTTTACATTCCTCAGTTGAAGCTAAGCTAACATCACTAAGGAACCGCGGAGACCGAAACATAAGATAGTTTGATTGTGAAAGATCCGAATTATACGGGGAATGCATTAAAACTTTCTATGCAAGTTTTTCCAATTTTTGCCGAAAGACTAAAGATATATGTGGTCTAGCTTTGTCACAGTAGAAGACGACGCTTCTTCTGTTTCTAGTTGTTCTAATTGCAATCGATTTTTTCAATACCTTGTTGTAATCCTCTTAGTTGTGAAAAATATAATTCCGAATCAGTTATTTTGCCAAGCGGCAACAATTCACAATGCACGACTCCTTTTTAATACTAACCAACACCTTATGTAACACCAGTATGGGCTTTGCCGCAGGTTGCTGAGCACATTAAAATTTTTTTTTATATTCTTATCATACGTGAGCCGCTTTTTACAAACTATAACCGGTATAGAAATAACTTGATGCCGTTGAATTTCTACAGAGTTCCACAAATGGGAAGACAACAAAAGAAGCTCTTTCGCGTCAAGTCGTGTGGCATGGAAACATAGTTTTTTAGCTAGATTTCTTCAAATGGTTTAAAGCTCTTCGATGGTAGATGTTTCGACTTTTTACTATACTAGTCGCGCGTCTTGCTAAACTTTCGCAATAGTTTTATAAACTCTACTGTAACTGACTGACCACTACAAAGAGTACCTTTTACATTAAAATTCCCAAAATGAAAGTGACAGAACCATGGTGAAGAAGCTTGACCATAAACAGCACGATTTTCTATGGACCATACAGCCTTTGTGCCTTTGTAGTAGTAGAACTCTAAGATATACCAAATTTTGGCAAAAATTTCACTTATCTTCAGGGCGCTCATTACCAAGTCGAAGTGGATGCATTGCAACAATTACTACTGGCAAATATCAGCTCTGGAATGACACCAACGCCGGCCCAACCCGACCCATATTATTTGAACTATGTAACGTTAAAGTTATCTAACTTGAAAAATAGTCAATACCTCTTCGACGATTCGGTAGTTCAGCATTCAATCCTATTTACTCTAAAACATACTAGGATCGTTTAAGGAATTTGCCTCGTGAGTACTTATGAGCTTGATTGTAATTAAACAGATATCTTTATTTGTTATTTATTTCAGCCAACGTGAACACAAAGGGCGGAATTCTCATGGCTTTTAGATTCACAACAAACTTTGAACGCACTTTGCAGTGGTGCAATTTACAATTTTCGAAAGAGGCTCTTACAGTCCGCTTTATGTGTCGCTCTGAAATTGTTAAGGTAAGTAAATATGCTATATCATAAAATGTAATGAGTATTATTTACCTTTAAGGTAACCCAGTTTTGTAAGTGACTTTCGCCTTTTGGACTTTATTCAGCTCGCTACATGTAGATGGTTAAACGTTACAATATGTGAAATGGGTTCATACGCTCATATGTGTCTTCTGAGTTAATAATTAAGTATACGGTGAACACGCCTAACGTTGTCTGATGCGCTGTCTGGCTAGATCCTTACCAAAATATTGGTCACTAGTTTAGCTGCAAAATATTTTGAGGTTTATGGAAGCTAAGTACTCCAAAAAAATTTACTTGTAGCGGCCAGAATTGCTAGAGAGATGTTAGACTGCGCTGACATGGCTAATAGCAATATATAAAAAAAATCGCGATTTTTTTTTACGGTGGGCGTAAATGTTCACATAAAGCGATGCGACGTTATGAGTATTGATAATATAAAAAATACTTTTTGGTAGGTCACGCAAAGCATTTTTAAAGTATGTTATATAATCTAATCGTTATCGTATCATACATAATTGTTAATATGTACCGAAATATATTGTTGCTACACAATTAAATACCTGACTAGAGGAATGAATGCGTTAAATGAAAATAACCTGAAAAAACTAGGGCTCTATGAGGGACTCTCTCCAGTTGATATCAAGACTCGTAACAAAGGCAAGGTGACCCTTATGTATCCTAGTTGGGTCAAATTCAGTCATATTACATGATTAGAAAATTAACCACATTAGGTATGTATTTATATAAATATATGTACTGTAATTCTCGCCTAGTTTTTCAAAAAAAATCTAAGTTGAAATCCTCACTAAAAACTTAATCGCGTTAACCAGGCCGATTTTATACATATTGGTAACATTTATTTCAACAACCATGATCTCCTATGAATGTTGAAATATCATATTGGCGATTGAAACTATGCTCTACAGTAGGTTAAATTTCATCCTCCTATACCAGTAGATGAAGCAAATGCGTATAGAAGGCCTGTTGAAACACTTAATATTGGTATTATTGAACCGTTATGCCATTTGAATTATATTTATCGTCCGGTATTTGAACGAATGTAGCGTGCTTCAACTTAAGTGGAAAATACCTCCCATCATCTATTTCAGGTATACCATGTCAGGTTAATCGATGGTCAGCATTTTGTGTACAATGTTGACATTAACAAGTACCCAAATTTTATTAAAGGTGAGAGTTCATATTTTTTGCCAATCGTTTCCTGTCCCGGCATAATACACTTAATCTCTCTTCTCCAATACAATGTATTATACTTCAGCTTACTTAAAGACAAAGAACAAAAAATCATAGGAGAAAATGTATAATTTGTATTACTAAAAAATAGTTATTATATAATTTGACTAAATTCGTGATATATTTTCCTGAGTTGTTTATAATTGTATTATAAACAATGTTTTTTTAATTGGGTTTAAGATTAAATCTGAAAGTCGTTTGTGAAATTATCCCTAGGGCCGGCTCGACTGTTTCTTGATGTTGTATCCCAATTCCACTCTAAAGTTGCCGAGGTAAGTTGCATCGTCATATATAGGATATTCTGGTGCAAAATTTACTATTGCAAATCTTTTTTGAGAACGGTTTAGAGTGCCTGAGAGATGGAGTTGTACATGTTCATTTTTGTATGAACATAAAAAATAAAAGCAATAAATATAGCCAAAGAATTTTAAAATGTATGTTAGAAGAGTTATTATCCATCGCCTACGACGATATAGAGTTTTGAATTTAGAATATCTGTTTTATTGTATCAGTATTTCAAAGCATTGGGCTCTGCTCGTTTATTAATTGTGGTTTTGCGAATTATTTCTGATATTACCACCTGATATAAGTAGTTCATATTTTATTTCTTAAATGTAAACTTACATCGTTGATTCATTCAGTATTGTGAGTAGTATCAATTAGTCAAGGCATCGTAATGAACATACGCATGCTATATATGATATTCCATATTATTGCGATAATTGAAAGTTTTATTTAGCTCCTATGGACAAAAAAATTAAATTTTTAATCTGCGTTTTAATAACAATTATAGTTGATTGTTTAAGGCAGTAGTCAAACAAACAGCTGCAAGGTTAGGTCGGAGCATAGCAGAATGATAAAGCTTTTTTTAGGAAGAAGGCAGCTCCATATTCAAATAGAGACTGTAGCTTTTTTCTTAGAGAATAAATGCAAAGGCAAACCTGGAATATTCACAGTTTTAAATTTTGAACTACATATTCTCTGCAATACTCCTGTAAAACGAAACCAGTTTATGCGTTAGAAACATGATTACCAATAGCACATAAAATCAGCTCCATGATTCTTATGTACGTAAATCTCTACACTTTTATCTCACACCTCAAAGACGTTTTTTTTTTGTATTTGGTTTTTTCGACATACTGTCTTGAGCTAAGCCTTTTATCTTCAAACGGCTGTCGGCACAAGCATTGAGACCAATTTGATAATCATATGTGACTGTTTTATTTTCGCGTTAAAGGCATTTGCTTGACATTAGATAATTTTTGTGTCAATGTAGCCTTTTCTTTCAATTTCACAGCTACATTGCTCCGAAGATATACCTGAAAGCTACGATCAGATTTAGCCTCTGTCGTGCCCAGCATTATAAATAGATACATACAGCAAGAAATATGAGAAACCCATGATGAATCCTAGAACGCTTGTGAGAAAGATATTTCCCAAAAATGGTCAAACATACGCAAATAAAAGAAATTCAACGAATTTGTCCTTGTTATTATTATTAGGAAATACAAACCAGGTAGAATATGTAGTTATTATAGTTAATTATAATGTCAACGCTAATTTGGGTATATCTGTCTTAGATAAGAAGCCAATATTCTTTAGATATAACAATATCTTTTTCTGGCAACTAGGAAAGCCAAAGTTTCTAAAAGAAATTTTAATTTTAAAGGTCACCCTGGCTGTATCTTCGCAGAAGTTAACATTAAGGAACTATATTGATGATGCACAGGATAGCGCCGCAGTAGTATATTCCAATATCACTTTCGAAAGACGAGAGTTTGAGGCATTTGATGTTTCAGATAAGGTAAATTGATGTAGCAACATACACTTTAAAAGAAAAAGAGAATAACATAAATGCGTTTAAAATTATCCCAGAGATTATAAAAAAGTGCTAAAATCTTTAAGCTCTGGGATTCTAAAAAGAATTTGCTCTCTTCTGAAAAAATCTAAATTACTATTTTTCTAGGTATTTTTCTATATAAAAATATATATTTAAAAAATATAAAGAAATGTACGCAAAAAGTTATCATTGAAAGATACCTCGGCTACTCTCTCGGGGGTAGAGTTGCTTTTCAACACGCCATACATTTAATTTTAATTGCAGATATTTTAAAAGAAATGTTGTATTAGTGTTTTTATCTGGCGGCTTTTTAAATCGGGCTTGATGTACTTCTGGTTATCATTCCGTCATCGTCAGCATTCCTGGCAGTCATCTATTCTTTTCATAAATTTTTTAATTAAGGCTACACAATTTTCTTCTTAAGTCAAGTTCTTTCCAACAATCTTAGCGTTTTAAAATAGGTTCGTCAACTTAGTACTAATAAGTGCACTTGATCACGTAGATGTCAATGTACTTTTAGGCTATGGATATCACGTTTTCATTGAGGATCTTCAAAATTATTCTTAACTACAGCGAGATGCAAAGTTTGGACGTGAACATTCACTACGACAAGTATGTATCGTTTGAATATCTTCAGAGCCAACTAAAGGGACACTGCACATTTTTATGTAGTCCACGGGAATATTAAGGTTACGCTTAAAGTTACACGAATTTAAGATTTAATGTTATTCATGTTATATATTCCAATTGACCAGCCCTTTGATATAAAATTGTGCAGATATGATAGTTTTGTGACGACCTGAATGATGTGAAGCTTTATACCTCCAACTTGACTTTTACAACATCCAGCTAGACAATAGTTGCACAAGTTTCCTTTTTGATTTAAACTCCCATTAAATAATATTAATATAACAGAAGTTCGTATTAAGAATGTATTCATTCAAAAATGACCTCTAAGTGCGCTTTGTATTTCATTAAATATAGGATTAGATTTTGCTAGTGGATACACCTAAATTATATATAAACTAATATTCAGTTATAGCAATGGAAAATTTAAATATATAATTTTTGTGAACAACCGTGAATCTCAATCTACTGGTTGTATTTTAGGTTTAATAAAAAATAACCACTGGTTGTACCACTTTTGTGGTAATGGTGTAGAGTTAACGAGTGTTGGTTAAAAATTATCATTTATTGTATATTTTATGCATTAAGAAAAAGTGATCTGTTTAATACAAATAGTCTTGTTTATGATTATTATCATTATAGACCCGGCGCCCATGTAATCGTCGCTTTAGCTTCTAGTGAACGGGAACTCAGCCATGTAAAGATCACGTTTGTTTTAGCAACTCTTGACGAATCGACTCCAGATGTTGTACAGGCAAGTAAAGTTTTGTTCTACAAATACTATATGCTCAATCGCTGCTGCATGCACACAAACCCCCCGATAGTTGGCATTTAATATTCTTAGATTTAGTAAGCGTCCACCGAATATTCTTTTAATTTAGAAACATGTGTCATGTAGACTTACGCATATCAAATGGCCCTCGGCGTCAATTATTGTTATATAAATACACCCATGAAATAAATTAATATCTATAGGTATAAAGCACGAAGAGGAGAGACGCTGTGTGATTTAGACTTGATTATATAGTGGTAGGCTACTGTTAGGTAAAGCCCAGTAGACCCAAAGCGTAGCATATCAATGGATTGCAACTAACCTACGTAACGTACACGTACAAAGTGCTGTGTAGACCTTAAACTTTGTATGCACGCCATCTATTTTACATCCTATTTTGTGCACAGGAGAGCTGCACATCATCACAGCGGAATATTCGGAGAAAGGAGCTAAGCATTCGAAATCCTGCCATTCCAGCGTCAAACACGTCGCAGCTGACAAAAGTAAGTGCAAGAGTTAATCACAATCTTTCCCAAAATGCGAGAGCCATAAAAAAGAAGAAGCTACATTACTCAATGGAAGTTAACGAAATATGAAGAAGCGGATAGACATATTAATTTCTATAAAAAAAGAATACTGTACGCATATATTTCTTCAATATCTTTGAAAGAATTCGGTAGAATTGTATTGTATTGGTACCGGTTCAGGCAAATAAAGCTCAGTAAGTAAGTCGACTTATTCACTATCACTTACTAAGGAGTAAATCATGTCAAACAGCGCTCAAATTCTATAATATGCGAAAAGTCTATTACACATGAATGAAGCTGATAAGTCAGCATAGAAATAAGTGATATATAAAGCCCACTGCTGACTGTGTTACAATAGCATGTTTTGGTAGCGTCATCTTTAGCGAACTTCCTAACATTACCTTCGTAAAGTTTACCAAAAAAATCCAAGAAACAAAATGGGGCGCCGCAGACCTTGTCGTTGGATCATCGATGCTGCAGTTGATGCAGGTGATGCCCATTCTCTGGTGGGGAGTAAATGGTACTTTGTCACTTTGGCACTGCAAGTACAATTTCCATTCAGCCGTATTTGTATTGCATTGTATCACTTTTACAAAGGACTGTTGAGGTAGCTAGTATAGATCCACATGAGCCATATACATTAGTTGTATACGAAACGTGGACCTCGGAACTTGTGATTAACGTTATGTAGACAAGATATCTCCTACGTTTCTTAATCTAGGTGCTTATGTTGACTGGAAATTGAGTGACTGAGTGCCATATTATGAGAAGCTGGGTGCTGCTGGCTTAAACTTGCATCACGTGGCACACCATTTGTAGAAACTATTTTGTTTGAAGGAAAAACAGGGATTAATAAGAAATTAATTAGTATATCGTCTAATCCCGCCTACTGTGAATTAATATCCTTATGAAAAACCGTCGAGCCATAATAGCCTGTTGTCATAAGTCACTATATACGTGAACCTATTATTCCAGGTGGTATCACGGTTTGAAGAAAGTGCGGTAATGGATAAAAGTGACAGTGGTAGCGCCAAACGTGCCAAACGAAACGAGGATTCGGACGAAGAATTTGCGAACCTCCTCGAGACAGACGAAGACCTGCACCGTATAATCACACAAAAGGAGCGGGAAGCAGCCAAGTAAGGGAATTAAGTAACAAAATATTAGAACATACCCACAAAACGCTTGACACATCATATGACAGTTGAAAGCTCATCCTTATATATTCCGGAAGAATTAACTATGATCTATTCACAACGATTTGGAGGAAAAAAATAACTGCGGGGTTCTCTTCAGCAGAGTTCAAAAATTCACACATTCTTGTTGATCGAGTAAAAAAAAGAACTAAACCTTATCAGTGCGCTGCTTTTTTTCTTTACCCTTATGTAGAATTGTGCTAACTTCTCGGTGTTTTAGGGAACAGCATGAGTCGAGTAGCCGAATGCCCCATAAAAAAGAAGTAGATACAGCCGATGATTCGATGGAAGAGAGTTTACATTTGGTAACATCAAGCGAAACAATGGAAGAAAATCAACCCACAGATACTGTAAGCGTGATGGCTAAAATCCTGATGCAGAATCAAGCAAAGGCCCGCAGAGGAATGGTGAACGTTCCTAAAGAAAAACCGGAGATACTCGTCCCTCCATCGGATAACGAAGAAGACTAACTAGAACCATTGATGTTCTTATGGGGCAGATAAAAACGTTACACAAAAATGTCTTTTATACGAAACAAATATTTCATTTATGCTTTGAGTAGCTTTACAATTTAACCGATTTAATATTGACTCTTTTAACTTTAAGTAAGGTATTCAAACCCCAATCAAATAATTAAGAGATATCCTTGCAAATTAAACAGAGTTAGTTTCGGTACTACGTTTTTACCTAATGGATGTGTATTTAGTAAACACTCCTACATAAAGTGCTTTTTAGCTTGAAGTGTATATAAGGTTATATTGCTTACTGTGTTGTCGCTACTTATGCTGGGACCTGCTTGTGCAGTCCGTTAATTTGATTTATTAGGGCCCGTAATAGATCTAAGCTCCATGTATATTTGACAATGAAACCACGAACGAACGTCAAATCGGACGGAAGATCTTAAGTCCTTTCAATCTCATTAAAAGATAGGTTTCTACCGCATACCAACAATGGCGACGTTTGAAATCAGGACACGTTTTTGGATAAATATCACGGATAAAAGACAAGCTTTATTTATAACATTTGCACTATGTTCTTGAAATTAATTTTTGTAGTACGGCGAAGTCTAAGAATTACGATGTGCGTTTCGTAACAGCTCAAGTTTTTTTTTTTTTATCAGAGTGAGCAAATAAACACGTTTTTAATAAAATATGAGTTGTAGTAAAATTATTAGTTCTTATCCTCAGTGGATGATAATTTTAAGTTCTATTTCATGCTTCAATGACCATCAGTGCTATTTTTTTACTGCGCTATCTCGAAAATGGCAGCAAAGTTTAAGACACAACAACCCAATAAACTGAAATAGAATGCATTCAGTTTTAGCTGTATAAGAGAAGGATCTCCTTTCGTTCACCAAGCTTATCGCAAATAATAGCCTGAGAAGAAAGTTCCCGTTGTTGGTTATTTTAATTCACCGTAACTTTCGACCAAGTGTACATTTTTGCCCGAGATGTAATCACTTACCCTTCGCTTCCCATTACTTTCCCCCCATCTTTTTGCCAGCTGATATAACCCCGTGAAGGAAATATTCTGTTCGTGTACCCATTTGCGCACTTCAATTCCTGGTCTAAAATATTAGACTTTTTGCCTGTGCTGCACTAGTTGCAACAAGTGATACTCACACAGAGCTGTGTCCGAGCTGTATGTTGGATGAACAAGGAAGTCCGCTAGAGCTCGCTGGGTCACCAAAGCAATTTGTGATGTCGCGTTGTCATGAAGTAATATCACTTTGCGCCGCGCTTTGCCTTTCGTAGTTCAAGCTAGTTCATTTATGTAACCTCCTGTAACTCTTTTTTTGGAGTGTGGATACTTTATAGTAAAACGCTCTTCTTTCGCTCCGCTATTTGAAGATGTTCAGCTTGACCATGAAGATTTCTCTGTGGCGTCAAGCCGGAGGGCTATCAGACATATAATTATTTCGGCTGCGGCTAGGGTGTCACAAATGATCAATTTTTTATCACTGGTACTGATGCTGTACAGAAGTTACTTTCTGTAAAGGAAGCAGTAAAAGGCCTTTTTTCTTTTTTTATTCATTTGTAAAGCCCACCTTGGTTTTCTTGTATTTTTTCTAATACATGCAAACGACTGACAGCAGTCATCTGGGTAACTTCTGCCAATTGGCAGAGAGGTTTCAGATTAACTGCGTTCATATTTTGCTTAAGAAGTGCCTTCATGCTATCATCGCTCACTTCCTGTGGTTGTTCGAAGTGCGGTTTGGCATTCAAGTTTAAATCTCTGGTTCTGAAGGGTTCAAACCTGAACTAATAAGTGGTAGCACTTCTCGCACGTGCAAATAATTCTTTTTAACTTGGCAGCACGTTTTCCAGTGCGAAAATGATGAAGAAGACAATGTCGGATATGCACTCTTTCAAATTTTAGGACTACACGCACTGAATCACCATCAACAACGACAACAACTCAACGAAAACAATTCTGACACTAGCTTTAACAGAAGTTTTCCTTTTAACCTAATAATAAGTTTTATATAAATCTAGCCTAAAAATGTTCGTTTTTGGATGCACGTGGTATCAAAATCTTCTTTCTTAAAATGGTAAATCGCCCATGCCACGACTGTGCCATCTTAAAGGACATTTAGAGCAAGTAACGGCAAACTATCTCGTGGGCGAAAATCGAGAAACACTGAATGACATTAAATGACAAGTGGCTACTCTTAATTATGCAAATAAATGCCACTTCCACTTTCAACAAAGAGTGCCTTTATGTAATACCCCGTTATTTATTTAGATTACCAATCAAGGATATGGTAATTAGAGTCAGCCGATTGTATTGTCTCCTGATGGCGTTCCCTTGGTTCGATTGTTGTCAACATTTCCGTCGAACTCATCTTCAGTGGTTTCACCTTCTGACGTCGCACCTCCTTCCGAATTTATCTTTCCACCCGAGGGGCGTGTCCCCCTTACTGGATGAATGAAGTCACTCGGAGTTGAGGGTGCCCCATGGCCAGGAAGAGCTGAAAACTTCCTTTGAGTTTGATAATGGTCTTCAACCTCTTTCTTGCTCTCACGACTAAAGCCCCCGGTATTCATTTTTTCAATAGCCTTTCGTAACTGAAAAAGTAACAGGACGCGTCAAATTTGTAAAAAGCCGTCTAAAATAATTGATATGCTATAACAGAGGGGAGTAACATATCATAAAGCTCATCCATCTAGAAAGCAGCTGACAAAGATGACTATATAGGCTGCATACACGTTACTTATTCTAGCAATAATGTTACAACGCACAATTACTAAGGTACCCGGTATGCAGTCGTGGTATACTTTTCCACTAAACGGTTCTTTTAAATGTGTCAAGCGGTGCGGTCCGACATAGGCTGTACCGAAATAAAGATTGAAGTCTGAAAAAATTATACCTCCTTAAGTGAGACAACACCAATAAGTCTCCCAATGGCAGTCACGTACGCATGCTGCAGACCCAACATCGAGAAGATGGAATGAACCTGGAATAGTTAATGCAGGCCATTTTGATATTGACTACACCACGGAATTCAGCGCAAAACTCAGTGAAATGACACACGTGGCATTCTGACGGGTTGAGTCAAGCTTAAGAAAACTAACGTTTAAGACGCGTATGGGAAAAGCAGAGCTATGAAACATTCTTAAAAATTGTCACGATTTGATTTGTAATATACATAGAAAACACAGCATAGCATGCATCCTCTACATGTCGCTTACTTTAATAAGCGTAGTCCTTTCAACCAGCTGAAAGGGTGCAGGATCTATATGGCATTCAGCATAATTGACGCCCTGAAAAATAGGCCGAAATAATTAGAAAATTATATTTTGAAACAAAAAGTATCTGTGTTAAGGTGCTGAATGTTTTTCGTGCTTCAGGTGACAATGGTAAGGGGTCTCTGGCTCGCGCAGCCGGCGTATAATATATTCAGGTAGACTTCCCGGATGCAACAAATAAGTAAAACAGGATCCACACGCTGTGACAAGCTATGAGTAAATTGATGATGAAAGGTAGTTATAGTAAGCAGGGTTAACGGCAGCGCTGACTGCAAAGGTAATATTGTTACAGCAAGAACGGGCAACTTAGATAAAAAAGTATGGGCTGATGGTTTACCATCTTGAGATCAAATATAGTCCTCTAATTAGATTTTTATACTAAGAAAAACGCATTACCGTTACCCTTCTCAGTCGTTTACCCGAAACTGGTATAATGCGATAAAATCTTCTTCGTCCTATCGAAGCTGTGCTATGTATGTGGATTTGGCGTGAAAACCCTATTGGTAAAAGCGTGACTACGCGACAACGTCGACCACTGCGTCACAGTAACATCACTAAAATCCCGAATGCCAGGATAAAAGCACATTAAATTAAACTCAGGCAGTAAAATGATGCACTAAGATCAATTTTATCTGAAAACGACTTTAACGAGTTGACGAAACTTGTTTTGAAACTAATTCAACTTCAATATCTCTGTGGTGTTTCCAGTAAAGATCTTAATTAAAACTTAAACCTACATATACAGAATTCCTTTTTTGTCACTGGGTTTCCGTTTTCCTTTTGTAAGTCTTTTGTTGTTAACTACTGATTTCTTCCTTATGACAAACCTGAGACAACTGTTCCTCTTCCCAAGATAGCTGTTCTTCTGGAGACATGTCAATAACTCGCTCACGTGGCTAAAACATTTTACGAACCTTTATTAGTTGTGTTAAACGTTGGCGCAGATAGTATTTTTCCTAAATTATTAGCAAAAACTCTCAGTAGTAATAAGAATGTACACAAACTTATTTTTAAATTTCGGAGGAGTATAATTCTTCGATAAAGTTAATAGTACTCTTTCTGACTTTTACCAATTGCACACGTTTAACCAGCTGCGGAGTAGCCGGATTGCTGCTCTCGCCATCGGATGGAGATGGATTAGCATCTGGCAGCGTAAGCAATTTACGCGAAATTGCCTCGAATGCCTGCCTGAGACGGGAATCTTAAGACGCAAATGGGTAGATTAAACAATCACAAAATTATCAACTACGAAACTACGAACCTAGCTAACCGATTTATAAAGACCTATTCTACTTTCGCACTACTACATTTTAAACCTGATAAATTGTGATCCTTAATGCCGTTCTTGCTACATTGTTACCGTTCACAGATAAGAGCTGAGTAGCAAACACCGCAAGGATTTAATTAACAAGCTATAGGGTGAGTTAAATGTTTGTAAATTCTATTTCAACGTTCCCGAAATGGTAAACAAAAGTTTTCTTAGCATGGCTTTTATTCTCACGTTAGCCCTACCCAGAAGTTTATTTACGCTACGCAGCTAAAGCAAATGAAGTCAAATGTCCTTCAACGAACCGATTGACTAACTCGATAGTTTTAAACTATGGCTTTATACAGTTCACCATCATTTTTACCATTCACTGTATGAATACGATGTTTCAGATTATTGTAGATTGCTTTGGGCTGTGTTTGAAGTACATTGTGCCTCGTATAACCCCATTGGAAAAAATCGAAAGCAGTCCACTGGTTGTTTGCACCCAATTACAATAATTAAACCTAAAGAGCGGTTTGCAACATAGGCATCAAAGGACTTATACGAATTGACATAGCCTTCTTATAATTTCATTTGGACTAGATTTTTTTGCATCCTAAACAAAGCATAGTATAGAGCTTAGGTGATTGTATAACAACAAGAACTTACCATATGACGTTACCGTGGCGTAAGGAGATTGGTAATCTCTGGTCGAGGTACCGTAGATAGTAAGCCCGTGGTCCTTAAGAATGGATTTTTTAGGTACAACTCGAGGAGTCACCGGTGGTGAAGGGGGTGGTGATGACTTCGGAGAAGGCTAGGCATGCAAAGAATAAATGCGGAAAAGAAAAAAACCAACGACCCAGCTTAGATTATTCTAATAGCAATGGACTTTGTTGGTTTTGAAGTAAATATTTACAGTGCCGATCTAGTTTCCTAAAGCTGAATTTTCCTTGGATTCTCAAGAAGTTTAATAATGATAAATCTATTAAGGTTAATAAAATGATTAGTGCTTTAATAAGGATTTAACTTTTCTACTCCAATTAGCTCGTCAATACATTCACAAAAATTCACGTATAAAATTCTAGCCATACTGTTGACATGGTACAGATGATCTTCAGTAACGAATCAAAAGAGACATGGTAAGATATTTGTAATATGGCGATGTGTCTGAGTAATCGTATGTAGTTTTCAGTCATTATATTTTCTCGCTGCCGCTACAAAAGTACGATGTCTTATCCGACGAAATCATGTTCGTGCCAATATTCTAGAGTGACAAAAGCGAGAAGCCAGCAAAACGCTGAACCTGAATTGCTCACTAGAGCTAGCAGATATACTCAGCAGACGGTTGTGTCCTTAAGGTTAGATGTAGTCTTCCTTTTGCTTTTACTATGGCACCTGTATGATTGATACTCTGGAATTGGAAAGCTGATGGGCGTTAATTGCCGTTGCAGGCTACATTCAGGTTGTGGGTTGCGCTGAACTAGCTTGGAGTATCTCTACTCGTTCGTATGTAGGTTCGTAGGTGTATGTAGGTTCATGACAGCAATCCGCGTTATTAAGTCGTGACCACAAAAATTCGCGCTGTTTTTTGCAGAAGACCAATGCAGACTGCGCATTGTTGCGGTCATCTTGATGAGACTCGAGAACAGCCCGGTCGTGCTGCTGACCGCCGCAGGGAGTCAATAAAAAAATCAACACTGGTCCGCCTGTTATTGTCTTGCCTAAGGTTTGGTACGCATATTCCTAATTCGTTGTCCACCAGACAGTGCACAGGATTTCATATTATTCGTACGCTAGAAACAAAGTTATAACGACAAAGAAAAACCCAAATGCTTTTCGTATACCTAGAACTGCACTGCTGAGTCATCTTTTGGGAATTTGTCTAGCATAAAAATTTGATAGTAGCTAATCTTTACCGAAATTGCGAAAATGCCATTGTTCTAGTAAGTATGTACTTCTGTTCTAAAAAGAATAGTTTTATTTTATTTTTAACGTGACGATAAACAGCGCACGGAAATGTTTCAACCTAGATGCCATATCTTGTGTACATATTTGGTTGCTTCCTTTTAATTCTCCTGAAAAACGTAGCAAAGCTGCTAAAACTTATACCTTGGCACTGTTTGTTGATGTGACTGGTGATACGACGAAGCGCGACATCCGTCGTTGATCTCCTCTTGGGCTACGTCCAGATACATCTTGTGAACGTCGTCTAGCTACCTCTTCCAAACGACGAAACCTATGACAAACGCGTAAGCTAATTCCGTTACTTCGTCAAAATATCAAAGTAATATGAAGTCTTAACCATGCGTACTAGAGTCACTGACGTGGGACAATCAGTCGGCACAACACCGGAAGCGAATCAAGAAAAATTACGTCGGAAAAAACTCTTCTGCTGTTTAATGCATGATAATCTACTTCACAGAATTTAACCAGGTAAGGATGTGTCTCTCCTAACGTCCCTTTTGATAAAAGCGCTACAGGCTTTAAAGTGGCTCATGCGTGCATGATGCTTAGCTAACCTTGATCTGTTCTCCTCCCAAGAAAAACCAATGAAATTGAATTTATGTTAATATTTCGATGCATCGTAAAATAAGAAATAATAGAAGAGCTGACACATTTGATACATTGTGAAAAAACTTTGGGCGTCCTTTCTTGTTGAAACAACAGCTGAACTTGTCCTCAGTAGATTTTAAAATAATTGGATATTACATACTGAATTGAAAAATCATTTTAGTCATTACTGTACCTTCCGAGTTGGAGCTCAAGCAATCGCAGGAGTTCAACGCGAGGTATTGAGCCTAACAAAATCATAGAATCTGAAATATGAAATCAAATATCATCCTAATGCGTCCAAATGTTAAAGAAGAAAGTTCAGTTCTTTGAACAGGTTCATAAGTAAACCATAGAACAAATGTGCAAAAACATTTTTCACCTTAACTTTTCGAAAACCAATTGTGCATCCATTTTTTAAAGACTATACATACGTGGTGACTCGACAAATGGGAAACACATAAGGCGCTTGTTATCCTTAAGCAGTTGTTTGAGATCGCGGTACGTTGCGCCCTGCAATAGAATGGACCGAAACAATCACGGTAAAAAGGCACTTCTCACAACCATATACTGTACAAGTCGCTTAGCTTATTCTCTATTAAGAAGCAATATAGTCATGTAGAGAAGTATGACTTTAGAAAGTATGATTAACCTTATTTTAGCAATATAGTTTAGAGAATTTAAGTAGTAAACAATAATATAGTGGAAAATTCTAAGTGTGTATCAACAGTTTAGAATTTCTATCGCAGTCATTGCATCTGGCATCGTTTAAATGCATGGAACTAAAGAAGCCAAATCACGTCGGAGATGCACACTCAAAAAACTAATGAAAGAGTCAGTAGACATCACAAATCACCTAAAAGCTGCTACAAAACTCAAGAAAACGTTGGGGAAATTCCACTTGTAGATTTAAATTATTCTCTCTTTTATGGTTTGAATTGTTTTTGGAAGTTTAATTCTCTGTCAATATTCGCCCCTAGTTTTAGCTGTCACAAAAACCTGTTTGTACTAACCAATGTATTTACACTCACACTTTACCGTTTCTCAAACTTTCCGCCCACCTTTAAGAACTGACAAGTTTGTATTAAATCAGTGACAAAACTAGACAAAGTAGAAGCAAAGCAGAGATTCTATTTGCTTGGCAAACGATCTACTTCATACAATTCTCTTGTGAACCTTCTACTCATTGATTTCCAACAGATCTTATAAGCTTAGCCAGCAAGATAAACCGACGCAGTTGGCAATCTGAATCAGTGATTAATTACTATATTGACTGTTCAAAGAAGATAACTGAATAAAAATGAGGATTAAAAATTATATGCACGTACTTGCCATATGTATGCAATGTCTCGCACCATGATGTCTTCAACGTAGATAGTGTGTGCGTGAGAGGACGTTGAAAGTATAGGCGGCAGATATGGTAGCTTCTTAAGGGTGATGATCAAGTCATAAACCGAAGGTTGAAGCATTTGTGATATCGCGTTTGCAATGAGAACAGCAATCTAAAGCAACATGTCAATCGTCGTGCAGAAATTAGTCTAGCCAATTGGGCGAATATCGAAGACCTAAATATCCCTCATAACTATAATGGTTCGAGTAACTTCATCCTCGCTTACAGTAATACCTATTCGTGCAACATTTCCAAACAGAAATAAAATATTTACATACCATATGGTTAACGTCCAAAGAAATGAAAAGTATCTGTTTTTGACATTGTTGAAGAAGAATAAATCCTAGGGGAGACATACTCGAAATTATGGGTGAAGAAAAAAGCAAGATGAAACATGGAGTAAACTCCATGAAATTAGGCACAAAACTAGGCTGTAGAGTCTCCTGAAGTTGGCTGCCACTATATTTAAAAGGGGACAACCGCAAGAAGGATGAGGATACTGAGCGTCTAGCAAGCGGCCTGCCAAGTAACTAGAAAGACTGACGGGTAACTCATTGACACGATAAGGAAGTTAAAGGGAAAAGAAGGTACATGAAAATTATACATAAAGGCTAAGGTCACAAAACTGAAGTCAGGAGCTTATTAGTTAAAAGAAGATGATACCAAAAGAGCGACCATAAATCGGTAAATGCGGAAGAAAACGACCATCATCGGTCGCAAATCTGACTAAACGAAATGATTAAGTTTTGAAGTACCATAGAGACCCGCATGGATGAGAATGAAACTAAAGGGAAGTCTAGAAGAGACTTGCCTGAGCTCGCGCCCAGCTTTCAGAGACTCGCTACCTGTGTCAGGTGCAATAGTCATTTGGACAGTAAATGACAGGCAAAACTCGAGGGGAAACCACAAAAAGTAGAGACCGCTCTTGACCATGCAAAGACGGTAGGGAAAGTAGTACAGAAGATTACGGATAATTTATTAATGCAACGTTAAAATAGAAAAGCATTCGGGTAACACGAGTGACAAGAGCCATGTTGATTACAAATAACTCAGAAAAAGCAACGACCCTTTTGGCGCAACTTGCGATGCGATATCTCTCTGTATTGGCTCTGACAAATTTGTCAGAACGAGGAATTGTTGTCCTGCGCAACAGCAATGCTATTAGAGTAATACAAGATGGAAGTGATCACTCGACCGGGGGGTTTTAATAGTAGGTAACACATTTAATAGCAGGCATAATGGGTGCCTAAAATTTTTTGCCAAGTTCATTGATAGCTTCGGAAAAGTTATGATGAAGAGCAAGATACTTAAAGAGAAAGAAGCGCTAGCTGTACTTTGACTTTGAAAATGCGTCATGTTCGCGGCTACCGGGATATCCGCCACAAAAGTGGCAAGGACTTCCCATAATTTGTTGTGAAAAGGAGCTCGCACATGGTACGGCCAGAGCAAGAGTCAAGGACGGTATTTTGCTGAAAGCCATTTTCAATGCCATCAGAGATCACGAGAAACTACACAGACTAAGGGCCGCGTCATAATCATTAGGGTATTTGAGATCACAACTAGACATGCCATTCTCATTTACGGACATTACTCTCAAAAAGTGAGAGAAACAAGCGTTGATATAGATGTTCAAAATCTAGCTAATCTCTCCGCAACATTGATCTTGTTAAATGTAAATTCTTTTTTGAACTCCAAGACAAGTAGCATGACTCGCTGGGAGCTGCGTAGCGTATCAAGCATGAAAAGAGAGACCTGTGGGCAGGAAAGAACGGTGCGAAGCTAGGGAGCTATTGGAGAATAGGAAAGGCCATCTAAGGAACTTTGGTTGTCGTGTAAAGGAATACGTATCACTTCTTACCTGCTGCAACTGCCAAAGACTTGAACGCATAGCTCGAGAGTATCAACACGATAACGTTAAGGGGAAAAATGCAATGCAAAAGGACATGCAGCCACTTCGATATTTTGCCAGAAGTACAAGCAAGAAGAAATGACTAAATGATGAAAGAAAAAATCGGAAGGAGGCATTAGCCAAGCTAGAACAAAAAACATGACGCGGCAAAAAAGAGGCAACCGCAATAAATAACAGAAAATAAAGAAAAAAGTGACGCTCGATAGATATAAAAGGTCGGCTATAGACGAATCTAAATGTTCCCAGGACAGTAAAGGTATTCACTATAACGTACAATGATCAATCATCTCGAAGTGATACAGGTCGACTGCAATCGCAGCTGAGGTGGGGAATCCAGAGGCTGACCCCTGACTGATTGGAACAATTGATACTATTTAATCATAGCACTATCCACAGAAATTCGGGTTTAAAGTGTGAGTCACCAAAAAGTAAAAGCTTACCATCACTGGTAATATGTGTGACATCTGACCAGTCATTTCGAAGGCGATGACACACGTGGATATAGTTCGAGTGGCGGCACCGGCCATTGCGGCCGCACCCGCCACTGCGTATCCACCAGGAATTACCAAATTATGACCACTGTCCTGTGATGTATCCACCCTGTATGAAAATAAGCATACTCTGTATTCCAGTATCAGCAACATATATA